GCAAGGATTGCCAATAGAGCGAACAGGCTGCTCATATCCACACGTGACAGGGCTCATCTGGCGAAGAAGGTATCATGGTAGGATCAGCAGCAGCACTAGGTCCAGACGACGTAATTACGTGCCAATATCGAGAGACAGGAGTGTTCAAGCAACGAGGATACACGCTCAAGGACTTTATGAGTCAATTGATGCATAACAAGAACGATCCAGGAAAAGGGCGAAATATGCCTTGCCACTATAGCGGGAGGTTGAAAACCGGGGTGGTAAGTTCTCAGTGCGTTGCTGGAGGACAGCGACGCAGGTTGCACGTGTGGAAATCATCGATCGATACTGATATGAGAAGCATGCTGTTGCATCAACACTCGGAACCCAGATCCCCCACGCCACGGGAGCTGCATATGCCTTGAAGCTTGCGGATCGAGAGACGGGCAACAAGTCACCAAGAGTTGCCGTTGCATATTTCGGAGACGGCGCAGCAAGCGAGGGAGATTTCCACGGCGCTCTCAATCTAGCCGCCGTTCGCGACTGCCCAGTCATTTTCATTTGTCGTAACAACGGATTCGCAATCTCCACGCCAACAACGGAACAGTATCGCGGCGACGGCATCGCAAGCCGCGGCATCGGTTACGGCATTGAAACGTTACGAGTGGACGGTACGGATATCTTTGCCGTCTATGAAGCGACAAAAGAAGCACGGCGCCGCGCTCTTGAGAATGGTGGACGTCCCATTCTCCTGGAAATGATGAGTTACCGCATCTCCCACCACAGCACCAGCGACGACAGTTTCGCCTACCGAACACAGGATGAAATGAACACGTGGAAGACTCGGGATAACCCGATTTCTCGGCTCAAGAAATGGCTGGAGAACAAGGGTCTTTGGAATGACGAGATGGACAAGGAGACCAGAAATCAAATACGAAAGGATATTTTGGCTGAATTGAAGGCTGCGGAGAGAGAGAAGAAGCCCCCTCTGAGCTCGGTCTTTGACGATGTGTATGGAGAATATTCGGAGGAGCAAGAAGCGCAGAGAAAGGAACTTAAACGGCTGATGCTGAAATACCCAGATGAATACGACGCAGAGGACTATGAGGGTGGTATCAATGCGCTGTAATCTCATCCACGGCTGTGGGTGGCGTAGAATTTGTACCGGAATATCAGGACATGCGTGATCTCTTTTTTTGATTGACTTCGGCTCCACCGCTGGGTATATAGGTAGCCTACCTCGCCCTTGGTAGATAGGCAGTCCACAAGTCCAATCCTCCCAACGTCTGGCAACTCGAGGTTGGATGAGGATCGAAAAATGTTAGAAATTCTCCAGCCCAGTGCTATTCCAGAGATTAGGATTTTGCTCATTCTCGACATACGCGCCTTATGAAGAAACATAATATGCTACAAGACCTGCTCAGTACTCTAAAGTTTCCAGAATGCCATCGTATATCCCTAAATACCGTCAGTGATCTGATACCAAAAAGTGAAAAGTGAACTCACTCGTGACATCAGGGAAAATGAACCTCTCCCACGCCAACCCTGTATGCGTAGTCCATCCACCAAGTCGCTTCACCGGCGCCTGGAGAGACAGGAGCGCCTGCTCTTGAATAGTCGCGGCAATTTCCGATCCGACGCCATAGTTCACCATACTCTCGTGCACGACAATGGCGCGTCCCGTCTTCGACACGCTGTCTAGAATAGTCTTTCTGTCCCAAGGGTACACCGTCCGCAGATCGATCAGCTCAACACTGATACCCGGGGAAGCTTTCTCCGCCGCCTCGATGGCCGCTATGCAATTGTACAGAGGTCGCCCATAGGAGATGATGGTCAGGTCGGCACCGGGTTTGACGACTTCGGCTTTACAGAGCGGAAGGGTGTAGAATTCGTTGGGCACTTCTTCGACAGCGGCACGGTAGAGGATCTTTGGTTCCATGAAAATCACAGGATCTTTGGACTCGAAGATGGCAGAGAGGAGAAGCCCTTTCGCCTGTGAAGGTGACCGCGGGACGACAACTTTGAAACCTGGCACATGGCAGAAAAGTGACTCCGGAGATTGAGTATGATATCTAAAAGTGAGAGGTAGTTAGCGTGGCATTGAACAAAGCCGAATGAAAAATCGGCAAGGCTTCTCACAAGGCACCATGGCCCACTCCACCACAGGGCATCCTGATCACCATCCCAGCCAGATTCGCACCCGTTGAACCCTCCCGATACCGAAACTTTGAAGCTTCATTCACGATCTGGTCAAAGGCTGGAAAAACATAGTCCGCAAACTGAATCTCGACCACCGGCTTTGCACCCTCGGCGGCCATGCCGACCGCAGCGCCCACAATGCCCTGCTCCGTTATGGGGGTGTTGAAGACTCTATCCGGCCCAAACTCCGACTGCAGGTTCACCGTACAGCGAAAGACACCGCCGAATGCGACATCCTCGCCAAAGCAGAGAACTTTGTGGTCTTCTCTCAACGCACTTCTCAGCCCCTCGTTGACTGCTTGGCAGAGGTTCAACCGTGTCGAAGAGCCTCCCTGCGGTAGACCAGGCGTGTGTGGAAAGGTCGTTGAGGAATGATGCAGAAGGGGAGTCTTGCCGAAATCAATGGGCACATTCAACTTGCGCTTCGCCGGGGTCGTCTGGGATGCGTATGAACGGATGGCCGACCGCGATGTCGATACGGCTAATCGCAGTGGTCTGCAGCGCTGTGACATTTCTTGGGTTTTTTTTCACGCTATGTAAGGAGTTCTGAGCAAAACTGTACCGAGAGCTCCTGAGATGCTGGGCTTGTATAAGCTTGCATTCCATGTTGCATGTGTCTCGACTCTCATAGTCTTTCCCCGCCTTTTAGGACGCCATCATTCCCATGCACCGAGTAGCCGTCCCGCGCACGTCGCTGCTTTCGGTCTCCTACAAGTCTCCCCGGGAGCATCAGCTCGAAGTACGGCTATCGACGGTTGGCGCTTTGCTGGCAGGTCAGACAACGATGCTAAGAGTCTGGATTCGAACGTCGAGGTGGGGAATTCCGGAGACTCTCGGCGCACGAACGCCGAAGCTAACCCCATAAGGAAAGGGAGACCCGGCGAGGCCGGAGATAACTACTCCGGGTAATTGAATCGAATAATGACCTTCTGCAATCTCGTAGACCAGTCGTCCCTCTTGGTGGATTGCCTCAGGTTTCCATTGACCCGGGTATTCGGGGCCAGATTGGTAGGGTCAGGAATGAGTTTGGTCGAAGTAATGCGGCTCGACAAGTCGAATGACTTGGCAGCACTTCGTGAAATTGATTCCATAAATTCCGGCAGGGAACTTCAAACCTTACATCAGCATCTCGTACCATGTTGCTTCAAGTTGAGGCTGACGAACAGAAAAGATGGGAACGTGACGAAAGGGGCGACAGGACCTGCTACGGGAATTGTTACAGGGGTAACATGGGATGTGGCCGACGAGGTTCATGGAGCGATTCTGGACCCTGCTTCGAGATAAAAAGCGATGGTTTTGAAAGCCAGACTTCGACAATGGTTTCCTTTCGATTAAAGAGAAGTCAGAATCTTATGGGTCCCCCACTCTGAAGACTGGTATACATGGATAAGTCGAGCAACGTCCTTCTGGTGACCTTGTGTATGTGACTCGATATCGCCGTGGAGTGTTTATCCTGCGGTGTTCCTAAATCGCACCAGTCCCTCGAACGAAGTCATGGTTTTGCAATATCGACAGATTGAGAAGTCGGCTCTCTTCGCCGAATCTGATCCAAGTTCGGGACGACTTCAGCGGCTAGGATGGCGAGGTTTCTTTATATAATTACGGGATGTCCCGAGCGCATAGATCAGCGCATTATTTCATCATCTCCTACTAGTAGCGCAACGCATGATTTCAAGCTGACTTGTAGAGTTTCGGTGGAAAAAGGCCTCAACATAAGATGGGTTACGACTCCAATTGCGGTGACTGGCCCATCCCACCTCTCCTATTGCAGCGGCGTCGCGAAGGATTGAAATTGAGCGATATGTGTGATGAGGATGTCATGGTCAGGTACCTCCGCGATTTCAAGGACTTGGAAAGGGGCGAGCTGATGCATAGAGAGCATGCGGGTGTAAGTTTCCACCCCAGAGGCGAAGACCCTGAGTGCGGGGTGTGAGCGGAGACTGGAGACCGCTCCACGCTCGGGCCGAACCTCTCCGAGCGGAAATGACTGCAATTGGCGAACATCATCTTGCTCAGAAACGAGACTCGACGCTGACCTGGACTATTAATACCAAACTTAACTCTAAGTGTCCGGAGCTCCACCATACACCGGGGTACCCTGCTTCGAGCCTCTCGGTTTCAAGGGAATAAGAAGGATTTGCAGTGAGGATGGCATCTACATCCGAAGCCACTCTTTCAGCATGTATCACAAGGACTCCCTCACTCCCGGACGACTTCCGCATCATCTAGGTCGTAGATCTGACTACCCTATGCCTCTCAGCTGGGTATCCTCAGTCTCTTCCGGCCTTCTTTCCAACTCTCAGGTCACAGGCTGTTGGAGCAGCTGGACGGATCTCGGGACAAGATGGCTCAATCCAACCGCACCAACCGCACCGCGGAGCAACAAAAAGAACGTCTTGCTCAAAGGACACAGTTCTGGCCGCATGGAGGCGGCCTAGTCGGTCTGTTGCCGTTTTGAGTGCTTTCATCTATTGGTGTCAAGTCCGTTCTATTCGAGTAACTCAAGACTAGTGGCACAGCTAGACGAGGAATACAAGACGATTTTTATAACCACTCACCAGAAAAAGATGATAGAGCCCGCCCAGACCCGACAAGTTCTCTTGCACGCATGGGAAATTTACTAAGGGAATTGTGGACAAATTCTCGTAAGTCAGGCTGGGGTACGTGGTTTGGATGGAAGTTGACGTGATAGTAACACTGAACGCCCCATCCACCTCATTTCCCAACCAATTCTTCAGTGAAGCGTAAGAAGAGCCATGACATGACCAGCATTCTTCTCCTTGATGGAGCCAGCATTCTAGAACTGATTCCATGTGTGCCTAGACAAGCAACCCCCCATTCCCCACAAGAACATACGGCGCCCAGTAGAACGGATGCTTATAGTCCACGCCTTCCGTCTCGATCGTCTCGACCATGCTTCGTAACGCATTTTGGAACCTTTTCGACTGAGAACGGGAAACCAGCGCAGGTCTTTTCGTCCCGTCTGGCTGTTTCTGCGCCTTCTCTGCCTCCTGACACTGATCCGCCATTTCCTGGAACGTCGAAATGGCTCTGCTTGCGTTTGCCTCGTACAGTTGAAGCTGTGCGGTGCGCCAGCACCTGACGATCGACACCGATTTAATAGCTTCCTCAGCTTTGTTTTTTTCTGGCGTCCTTCAGCGCACAGAAGAAGTACACCATCAACAATGCGGACGCCTCGTCGCTGACTGACCACAAGGCACCCAGGAACGCCGAGGCACCAGACGAGAGGACGATATGTGAGAAACCCAGCATGTCGTCGCCAACAGTCTCTTCGCCCAAGCCGCTGACACAAGCCTCGAAGATGACCAGGGCGGCGCTACTGCGCATGCGGGACAGATCAAGCACACGGAACGGAGGATTCAGCGCCAACGTAGACTGCCATGCGGATTGCTTGTGCTGCGTTCCGTGCGTCGCAATGAACATGATGCTAGACTGTTCGTAGAGGCTGCTGAAGTCCTTGTGTGATGCGACTGTAGTGGGACGAGGGACAGTGTCGAAGGCTCTAGCGATCAGGACAGAAGCGGCGGCTGATAGGGGTAGGGGTCTTGGTCCTTTCGCGTCATTGTACACAACCCCCACTGAGCCTTCGATGTCTCTTTGCCTTTTAACCAGGCGACCAAGCGCGGCTATGCTCGGGCACATTGAGACGTCCTTGGTAAGAAAAAGTGGCTGTCCATCCAAAGTCAAGGCAGAGAACGGGAACTTGTTCAATGACCGCGAGGGAACGAACATGATGTGGTCTCGAGTCCTGAGGTACTGTGAGATGGGTTCGATGACGATGTTGGAGATATTAATCAAAGCTTCCTGACAACTTGAGAGATCGGGCATCTTCCCATTTTCTCCATCTCGAAACAGTTTCAGACAGCGAAAGATGTGTTTTTCCACTTCAATGTCGGTGATCTCGTCGAAGCAGATATTCTCGATGCCGTTTGAGCTGATACACAGTATGAGCAATCCATCTCGAGAGATGTTGATATGCACAACCAGAGCATCTGTGGCAATCGAGTTGTAGATCATCTCGTTGAGACTGGCAGTCACCTCAACGTCTGGGACAAGCTTAGTCAGACTGATGGGTTCGAGCTCTGCCTTCAATCTAGCTTGGATTTTCTCTAGATATTCAAGTTTCGTCTCAGCGACGTCAGTAGTGGAAGATCCGGCTTTGTCGAGCGGTGGTAAATGAGTGCCAAAGGCCCTGAGTTCGTGGTCCCTCAATTGACACGAATATTCCGACCAGTTTTGTAATTGTTCGCGGTCTGTAGCCTGTTCCGCAATGAGAAGGTCGAGAAGTGCTCGCAAGTGACCCATGTCCAGAAATCGAAGAACTTGTTCCTTCCATTGGGCGGGCGTCAGTTGCCATTGATCAAGATTGATGACAGGTTCATCCTGATCTTCCAACTGAGAGAGTAGCCACGCAACACGGGCAAGCCCAAAAAATAGCTCGTTCGAATGGACCGTGTCGTACAGATTGCGGCGTTCATTGATATCCGCCAAGCGCCTGTAATTCGTTTCCACGGTCTGGAAAGCGTCGATATACCATGTCAATGCAGACGGTAGGTTGCCTGAGTGCTCATGTATGCATCCAATCCAAAACATGTCCATCCAGCCATGCGGGCTAAGAGCGCTCCTGACTTCGTTCAAATAGTCAGGAATGGTCTGTTCCACCTGGCCGAGGAGTTTGGATCCCAGTCCCCACTCTTTAGTAATGAAACACAGAGATATATACCTCTTTGCATCTTGTCTCCGTCTTCGAGATGTCAATCTGGAAATATCAGGAGCTAAATTTCCAGTGATAGAGTCATTTCCGCCTTGTCCTCCCAGCCACCGGGGCATGGTCAACGGAAGAAGCTGGAGTGCTCTGTCAAACTCACCTAGCTGCCGAAGTAAGGCAATTTGGTATATGTCAACTTCGGAAGAGCGGCAGGGGAGGCTGACAGCCTCGATCTGCAGGAGTGCTTGCTTAAGACAATCGTCTACTGCGTCTATGTCTGCATTCATGCGTAGTTTTGTCCGACGTCCCTCATTGGCCTCTTGAAATATTGCCCGCAGTGGTGCAATAAATGTTTCTATCCTGGGAAGTCCATCTGCAGACGCCTTCAAGGATGGATCTGTTGAGAGTGACGACAGCACATTCAACATGGCCTCGAGAGACGATTCCCCTTGCACAGTGTCAGCTGGGTTTTGTACATTCTGTCTGGCCCTCTGGCTGGAGCTTGAGATAGATCTAGCTAGGCTATTGAAACCACTAATGCAATTGGCACGAACCGATTTCAGAATATGCCGATGGTCTGGAGTGTCTGCGTGTGCTGAAAGACGATCAATGTGGTCGGCAGCCTGATCCAGAAGGGTTCGGCCATGTTCAATATGCGCAGTGGCCGTCGGAACGTTGCCATTCTTGCGTTGAAATGCAGCGAGAGAGACAACCGCGCTCAATTGCAGATAAGGATCTCTGAAGGCGTAGCAACAGACCTCGGCGCAATCACAACAAATCAGCGCTCTCTGCACGCCGGATGGGAGAAGGAAAAATTTGCGACCAAGACGGAGCAAGAGCATCCCGAGAAACTGGGAAACACCGACGTTATCAATTGGCCGGCAACGATCACCTATCTCATAAGCTTGACTCAAAACATCCTGATGCCTGTCATTGCTAATGTTAAGCATCAAGATGTGACCGGACACTATGAGTGAATGCGTGTTGTCTCCGGAGCACAGTTGAACGGCATTCTGCAAGTGTTCGCGGGCGTTCTCAAGCAACTGAGCTGTGGATCCATCGGTTGCTCTCCTCATTTCTTCTATAGCCTGGACGTGGTCTATGCAGGCATACCGGAGGCTGACTGCTCCCATCCCAGCATGGGATCCTGCTGCTTCGAATAAATGATATGCTTCGAGGTAGCATGATCTTGCTAAATCGGCGTTTTGAGGAGCGAGAGACGTTTCAATAGAATCCATTGCCTCGTTATCCCAGCCCAGGTCTCGTCCGTGTGGCATCAAGTTCAGGGCTACCGGGCTTGTGAAAGGCAAGGAAAAATAGTTATCTCCTTGAACCAATTTGACACTCGCTTCACCGACAAAATCTTCTCGTCAGACGCTTCCAGGTCGTGAAGAGCAGCTGTTGCGTTTTTCGAAGCGCCAGCCAACAAGTATTGCAAGGTGAGCTTCTTCAAACAAGCCGCGGTCTTTGTGAGTCCTAAGTCGTGTGCACTGTCAATGGTGGCTGGAGAAGATGGTTCTGATGAATCGAACATAAAACCTAGAAAGCGGTCTGGGTATTGTGGATGATGTTCGAACGCTTGCATCCAGAGGTAGGAATGGAAATCAAAGACGTCGTAAATGACATGATATTCCAACTTATCAAGTTGGTTCTGGATTTCATTTCTGAGGTGTGCTTTCAGGTTAATCTGGCGTCTCCGGGAGTCTTGAACCGAAAGCCCATAGTCCCTGAGCACGCTAATTTGGTTATTCCTACCTGTCCAGAATCGTAGGATTGGCGGCACTCTCTTCAGACAAGTGATATAAAAGCTGTACGCATCCCATCGAATTGGCCATGATGGTCCAAGTTCACGATCCGGGAGCTGGGATAGTCGCTCGAGGCAACTATCTGCCCTGGCGAGATCTCCACTCATAGCAGAGTGAATGAGTCGCAAAAGAATGATTGAAGCTTGGTCTCTGATAGTGGGCGGTAGGAGGATTGCTTTTTCAAGTTCAGTGATCCTCCGGTCAGAATCCTGCAGGTCAACTCTGTATTCAGCGGGGAAAATGGTGCCACCGAAGAAATCAGACACCTTCTTGAAATCCATTGAAGTATTCGATCACTCGATTATAGACTCTGAGCCTGCCTCAAAGGAGTTGTCTGTATCCGAAACCACCATAAGGCTGAGGGGCCTCTGAGCAAAGGGGGCAGAGCAGGAGTCTAAATCGTGCGAGGGGAACAGTCCTACTCAGCGGCCGAGTAAAAGGTTGTACACGAATGAGGGATTTTTCACCAATCGCGCAGGCTGGAACTCTTTGAATTCGTCTTTGAGAAGCAAACCGGTGTAGAGGAGGCGAGGTCTGAGGGTTAAGGGTATTCGAGAGGCAGAGGACTAGTTTGCTGCCCAGAATGCTCAGGGACTTGGTAATGTCGTTATTGGTCTGTTGCCCAAATCGCCTGTCCTCGAATACGAGGGACCCTCACCTCTCATCGTTGTGGAGTTTATATCCGCCGCTCAGTCACCTTTTGATGCTCAACAGTTCAGACACAGTTGTATCAGTTGCCAGCATGACTCGGCCCTCGTTCTACCTTTACAGTCACGGGATCTCCCCAAATTTGCTCACTCTGGGCACGTCGGTGTATGAAAACTATGCCGAACCAGAGCTTCGATCAGTGTCATTTCCGAAATTGAGGTAGGCTCCATAGTTGATTTCGCTGTTGAGAGGTGACTGAATAGATAGTGAGTCGGACTTTGCTGAATTGGTGAAACAAAATCACATCATCTCACAACCAGTCAGCGGATGCTTTGCGACGACAAAGGACCAGAAATTTGGCCTAGGCATCGAGGCACTGGACCTGGCAACAATCGGGTATGAGTATGCGAGCAAATGCAAGAGGCTTGTGGTTGCCAGAACCGGTCGTCGGGTGATTCTTGGAAAGTAAGAAGCGACTGAAAGTGCTCGGTGCGGGTGCTCACAGGCCTCAGCAATGACAGCATAGATACTTTCTTTGAGAAGGTCATTCAGCATGAAACCATCCGCAAACGGCTTACCCGGTGGCTTTCTGTGGCGAAGAGTCAGTGGATATTTTATGCAGCAACCTTCCAGAAGCCAAGGGTGTTTTGCGTGACAGGCTTTTATGAGCTAGGAGACGGCCTGGCTAGGACCGACTGGGAGCAAACACATTCGGCCACGCTTGGTATTAGCTCTGCGATCGTGGGGGCTACGGCTGGAGTGCCCATCGGGGGAAAGATCGGTCCGTTCAAGGATGGGAGGTCATTGACGGCCAATCTCGTCCTGAAGGAGGAAAATATCTGGGTGGCGCGATTCCACCAGCTCAAGGTGGAATATCTCCAGTTAGCGACAGGCGCCACGACAACACTCCCGTCAACAATCATGCTTTATGAAGATTGCACACATCCTCGAGGAGGGTTGATAAATGAACCTCCCGTTGTTGAGGAAACGAGAGCAGTAGAGCTTGAGGAGGAGATCAAAATCGCAGACGGGGCTCGTATTGGAGAGAGCCTTGAAGATATTGAAGAGATCCCTGATGTTTCCGTTCCAGGAAGTTCCTACTGGTGGGCGTTCGATGTAGCTGAGTCACATCTAAAGAGGGCGGAGGCGGAGGCGGAGGCGGAGGAGGAGGAGGAGGAGGAGGAAGAGGAGGAAGAGGAGGGAGAGGAGGGAGAGGAGGGAGAGGAGGGAGAGGAGGGAGAGGAGGGAGAGGAGGGAGAGGAGGGAGAGGAGGGAGAAGAGGGAGAAGAGGGAGAAGAGGGAGAAGATGAGAAAGACGATGATGCCGACACCCACTAGCACAGGACTTTGCACAGGACTGCCTCGTGCCAAGGCCAGTCTCGCTTGAAAAGGCTTCAAGTTGGAGTTCGGCGTTGAACTTCGCCTCTTTCCGACAGCTTCTTCAGTCTCCCCCTTTATCAATGCTCTGTTCGAAAAATCTGGATTTTGAACCATGGTCCCTTTATTAGAGTGAAGATTGAAGGGCTTAAAATAGCCGAGGAGCTTCATGCCAGGATCTGGCGGCCTATCCAGTTTTTGAGATGATCCAAACCACCTCACCGATGCACCTAGACCCGACGAAGAGTAGAATGTCTTGAAACGGTATTTTCAAGGATCCCCTGACCTTTCAGGTTGGGTTGGACAGGACTCGAAGCATATGGCAACTAGGGTTCTCGTTCGCGAATAATCTACCTAGGTAGGTATCTGGCAGATGCCTACAATACCTAGGTACTCAAAATCCCAGCCTTGACACATCCGAGATGGCAAGATACCAGAGTCTGAATGGCTACCATGTCTATATGCTATATCCATCCAAGTGTCGTACACAAATGCAGAGTCAGTCGTATTCCAACATGGTCTCATGGGTGCTCCTCTCGTCAATTCAGGTTTCATTAACATATTCAACAAATGATCGGATTCACAGCAAATAGTCCCTGTTCAAGCTTGGTTAGGACGCGCTTAAAACACTAGGAGACAGATCGCCTTGTAGGAACTTACCTGGTTTTGCACTGCAAGTTCAGCAAACCTCGCTTGTACATCCTCATCATCTTCCAGAAGCTTGTCAATCACCTTGACGTCGTCGATGGTCCAGAAATGCCGGAAAGCGGCCACGATGTTTTCAGTATGCTTCCGCACCACGTCATCGTCCACCGCCGCAAAACATAGTCGGTAATATTGCCAGCCTTTCTCTTGCATGATCTCAGGCGTAGGGGAAAACATGCTGCCTGGAGCAAGCAGAACCAGATACGGCTCCGTTGTGAACAATACCCAAAGTGCCTGGGAAAGCCGTGCATGGTCGACCTCGTTGAAAAGGGGATGTGTTTCAAATCGTGCATGTAACCAAAGGAACATACCAGCCATGGGATATGCAAAGTCGTACATTTGCGTCTTATGCACCACCTCGTATTCAATATCGTCGGGTGCAAAGGCGTTGGATCTAGGCTTTGAATCTTGAATCAGGTATTTTCCATCTTCGAGAGTTAAAGCCATGAGCTGCATTCGTCGTTCATAGTTGCCCCGCAACCCTTCAAGCCATCGAACCCAGCCGTCGACCTTCCATCCACTACCGTCTTTGCTGCCTCCTTTGCCGGGATCGCCGTCTTCAGAGGGACCAATGATGAGTTCCGCGATCATGCTTTGAACGAACCCGCTCGGTTGTTGAGTGCTTGTCTCGGTGATGCGCAGGATCCTCTCCACCACGTCGGGTTGGGCGGTGATCCAGCCTAATCGGCAACCTGGAGCAACTGTTTTGCTGAAGGTGTCTAGTCGAACGACTCTTCCATCCACGTCGATTGAGAGATATGAAGGGACAAGGCTGTCCAAGAACGGGAAACCGCCTGATTTACCACCAGAGGCGGTGTTGTAGTTGTATGAGCAGTCCGAGGGGAAGTTCTCCGACACAACTTTACCCCTGGTCCTCATTGACATCTCGTTTGCCGAAGGGTATTGCAAGTACCAGTACGGATCATCCTCAATAATGATGATATCATACTTTTGACATAGGGCGTAAATTTCCTTCCTCCTTTTCACCGATAGTAATCCAGAAGTCGGGTTCTGGCCCATCCTGCTCTCTTGTTAGTGCGATTTCTTTGGGGACGTCAAAATGGCACTCACGTCACAGTGTACATTAAATGCGGTCTCTTTCCCCTGTTCTTGTCCCAGCTCGCGAGGACCTCCTCCAGCCCGCCTTTTCCTCGAGCCATCATACCTTCGTCGTCAATGGCCACCGGGACCACATTGAGCCCACGGGGCCTAGCAGCTTGTATGGCATTCATATATGCAAACTCTTCGCAGAGGATTCCCTCACGTTCTCGGATCCAATCTCGCTCCTCGTCCCAAATGTTGCTGAAGCATTCAATCGCCTTGGAAAAGCCGTCGGTTGAGCCGCAGGTCAGAATCACCTCCGGTCCGTCCTTGTAAGGGACATTGGGATGAAGATTCGCCTGTGCGAATGTCCGGATAAAGCTGTAAAGAGGAGGATATCCTTGGGCGGTGCCATACTGCAGGGCAGTGGTCAGGTCGATCTTGCGCAGGAGGTTGGGCTCGGCCGAATCGTGGGGGACCAGAACCCGCGAAGCTGTTGGAGCGTCTGATAGAGACGGTTTTGCAGGCTGGGGAGATGGAGGGTCAACAGGTTTGTTCGGCGTAGGCTTGAATCGATCAGGAAGCGCCGTGGATGCTTCTAATGTGTCGTAGGGGAAGTATCCAGGGTTTGGGAGACCTGGGAACCATTAGCAAGCTGTAACATCTTGACCAAAGCGACGACATGCCTCCAGCAAGGTTTCCGATACCCGGAATGGAGAAGTATTTATAGAAAGCCTTCATCTTGCTGGCAACACGCTGTTTGGTGACTCGCGAGTAGAGATGGGACAGGTCCTTGGGCGCAGGCTTGTCGCTGATTGTCGCCATGGTTGCGGTGATGGGCGTCGAGCTAACAGAATGATTCGATTCTAGCCAAGTCAGTCAAATAGATAGCTGAGATTTCTGAAAGCCAAAAAAGAGAGCGTCGAGGCAGCAGGGAATTCGGTCAAAATGTTCCTCTGCATTGGATGATGACTATTTCACAATGCCATGTTCGGCCGACTGCCGACTCCGATAACGATAAGAAATGTTCGTTGACCGGAAGCTCCGTCCCGCTGCCTGCTGGAGTGAGGCTAGCGCCCCGTATTAATCAGCACCATGTGTTCTCTGCGGTCGGTGCGCTGTCGCTCCGACACTCTCTTGTGATAACGTCTTGTTGGGATCCAGATATCGTGGCCAAGGCGCGAGGGTCGAGCCGGGAGGTCTCAGAGTAGATGTGCTTGCAATGAGTTCTGATGAAGGCCTAGAAGTGTACGGAGTTATTTCAACCAGCCATTTCAGAGCACGAGTCTTGGCATCCATTTAGGACTGCCGGGTAGGCCCCGCCGCTTTACTCGGGTATCAGGTGATCTGCAAGGCTGGCTTGATCTCCCTTCAGCATCGGCCTGAACTGCACAGCCTGGTCCAGGCCCTGATCCAAACAGGTGCAAACAGCCTTCGATCTTTCCATACGATGAGAAATCATAATCATCGTCATCACCACGGTGTTCGTTTTCTTGTACTTCATAGAAAGAAAATATTAAGTAAGGGAACTCGGAAGTTATACCAGCTCGAAACAGAACCGCTCGTTTTGGGGTTCCATTATTATTGCTTCGAGCACAACCCATTCATCACAGTCACTTCAGGAGAACAGGTCATTGCCTAAACACTTTACTACAGCCTTGGCTTAGAGGGAGGAGAGGAGACACGGGTCAAGAGCTTTTGATTGAATAGGTGCAGGGTATGCACGTGCCTTGGTGCACGGACACCGCCAAGCTTGCGCCTTGGCTGGCTCGCTAGGTAGGACCATTGGGCAACCATCTGTAGCATTGTGATTCGGTACCGCTGAATATTAAAGTATTCTAGGTTGCTAGCTCATGAGTATGTGCACGGTTGGTTTTATGGACTCTCACTTTTTGCATCATCATCATGATCATCATCAACATAGCCCTGTGCTGCCCTGTGTCATAATGGTCTCAATTTGGTCCATCGCGGCTCTTCCAGTCTGGGCAACAGCGCGAGGGATGGAATCTCAGATTGGCGGTTCTCGCCTCGTAACCCGCATCCACATGTCACTCACGATGAAGACTCCGGCGCTAAAGGATTTCCACGGATGCTGCGGGTTGACAATGGTGAACTCGAATTTCCGAAGCAGCTGGAGCAGAGAAATGTGTTAGCACTTGATGTGGAACTTAAAAGCTCAAAAGCAAATTGTCACCGACTCACCTGCGCAAACACCTTGTTGAGTTCAATGAAGGCGATGCTCTTCCCAAGACACGACGACCTCCCATAACCAAATACCATGTCTATGTTGGCCTCCATGCGCTTGATCTCCTGCTCCGTTCCTTCCAGGAACCGCTCGGGTCGGAACACTTTGGCATCAGGGCCCCACAACCCTTCGTCCAGGAACAGTCCGAACGCACAGTATCCGATCTTCGTTCCGCCTGGGACATAATATCCATTGAGAGTGTCTCCCCCCGGGGGAACGCACTTCGATTGGAGACCTGTGACGGGAGGGTGAATGCGCAGACCTTCCTTGATGACGGCTTGCAGGTATGGTAATTTGCGGGCTTCAGAGTCCTGAATGGGATCCGAGATATTTGCAGACGAGAGCTCGGCCAACAGTTTTGCCAGGACGGGTGAATTGGTGAGGATATGAAGCATGGTCGCACGTATCGCCGAAGCGGTGGTGTCGCTACCGGCCAGGATTTGAACCATGGTCTCCGTCTCGGCGTCCTCTCGTGAGAGGCCATGTCTCAGGAACGATCCCAGCATGTCCATCTGTGGTTTCGCCCCCGGCTGGAATCGTTTGGCAACCACCTCCTTTGCAACTCCCATGATTTTGCCCAGACCATACGCATCCGTGTCCTTGGGCATGAGAAACTTCATAAGCGGTGACTGGAAGATCTTGGACAGGCCCGGAAATGCTGCACACAGGATCATGGCCGGGATGGTGCTTTCCGTTGTCTGAATGTAATGGAACACATCCTCATCCTTTTCAAGAAATCCGAACGCTCCTCCAAAGGCAATTGCAGAAAGGATATCCAGAGTCAAATATTGTGCCTTGCGAGCGAAATCCATGGGTTTGAACTCTTCCGGCGTGGAGAGATAATTCCGTTCGACGAGGCCAACAAGCTGTGCGATACACTCGTCGATTGACTGCTCCAGGGTTGGGTTCTCCTTGCCAGCATACTAGCGACAGTGTCAGCACACCCGGTTTCAGATAGTCGGAAAACAGTTTCTGCTCAAATACCCCAGGAGCCATTTTGGCGCGAAGCATAGCATGTCTCTCCTCGTTCCGCTCAGAGAGGATATTGTCACGATCGACTCGAAGGGCGTCATACCAGTCAGATCTACGGTACGGAGATCTCGCCGCACCCATAGTTTTGAGGATCTCGGGGTCACATGTGATGAGGTCGTTGGGCCCAATGCGAACCAGCGAACCTGCTCGTTATAGGTCAGCCAGAGGTGAATTTGACGGTACGCCATGGTGGGGGTTGTACCATATTTGAAGCACTGTTCTGCAGATTCCATGTACATGGAGCCATCCCAGGTGTGTTTGAGGAGCCATCCTTTTGAGAAGCCGGCGGAGAAGGGGCCGGGGATGTGTCGTAGGCGATACCAGTCGTAGAGGGTCTTTGCGATAGAGTAGACCGAGTAGGCAGCAAGCCCAAGTCCAAGGTAGACGAGAGCGAGCATGTTTGCCTGTGGGGAGTACAAGAGATAAATGTGATGTCGAACTGTGTTCACCGTGGGGGAGTTTCAGATCTGAACTCGCATGGTACGGTACACGGTACGTATTCCCTGCCTAGGTATTTCCCGGGCTCTGTTGCGTTTGGTGGCGAGCAACGGTGCCGATGCCCTATTACGGACCACGCTGTGGGAGAAGCGACGAGACGAGGAAAGCCTGACAGCCACGTCTGGGGCAGGATGTTGCACGGCAGACGCAGATGCCAGAGCGGCGGGTACCAAACGGGTCTGATGCAGTAGTCAAAAGTAGTGCAGTCAGTGGCACCGTTGGTCATGGATGGTGAAGGTGAAGCGGCATTGGTGACCGCAGTGACCGTTACTCTTCACTATTTCTTTACGGGGACAAGGAACAAGAGGCTACACGGGGGATCAGCAGCGTGGATCGCGATCCGACCCATCTGGCCCTCGGCCTCATTAACCACCATTACAGGCCCTTCCCCATTTTTCTTTACTTCACATCTTCCTCAACTGCCATGGGTAACACCGCATACTTACGGCCACCAGCAGCACCACGCGGAGCAAGTACGAGTAGCCCTCCCGGCTCGCTTACAGCCGCCCAGATGATAAACATGTGCTAGTGATACCGCTCGACTCCCCAAGCTCGTCTGTCGGTTCACAGCATTTCATCCTCGTCGGCTAACCGGGCTTTGTCCCACTGATGCTGTAACTGATGTTTCACCCGTCAGTCATGCTCATCTCACAGATCCGAACCCTGGATGGCTTACTTACATGGGCCAGAACGCGTGATATCCCGTGTTCCTCATGTCTTTTCTGACATCGACCAGAAATACTTCGAGCTCATCTGCAGACCAGGATAAGCCTCGCGTGAAAAGTGCCAGGCTGATGCCCGACAACGATCCGCAGAAGTTGTGATAAGTCCAGAGTCCTATAGGATTTGGATTTCCGTGAGCATTTTCCGGCCCGTCACTCCCGGTCCAGATTGATGAAAGCTCACCGATCTTCTTCAGCTTTTCTTCTTTCACCCAGGGGTTCATTGGCCAACTGTAGGGCTTTTGCACCACGTCGACGAAGCCCGTCTCGATCATGATTCTCTTGACTGACTCGACGCTGTCAAGGGGACATCCCAGCTGCTTACTTGCCTCAAGCATATAGGCTGCCCACCGGGCCAAAGCAGAATTCTTGGGAAGTGTTCCGTCATCACACTGGAGATTGAATGATATGTCTTGGACCTCGAGCATTCCCCCTGGAGCAAGGTTTCTGTGCGCACGTCGTCAGCGCGAAGGGCAGTTTGAAGTCGCGATGCATCTCGCCTTACTCATAACATTGCTGAATGAACTGCCGCCAATCTGCAATTGCACCTGTCATGAATCGGCTGAAGACGAAATCGAAGCTGTAGTTAAAGGCCCATGGCTGCCCGGCGTCCATGACTTCAAATCTAACGTTGGGAGGAACACTGCAGGCGTGATGAACAACAGAATGCCGGAGGTCTGATTAGACTTACTAGTCCGGTTGCACAGGGCTGACGTCCACTCCGAGCACCTTTTCTCTGTCAACTCTCATTCACGTGGGAAACATGGCGACAGCATCAACTCACTATCGATTCCGGATGAAGATCCCCTTCGGCAGCCTCGTTGTCAGTGGCCCTGTCCTCTCAGACTCAGGAGATGCTGCCGTCTCTTACCATATTCAATGGACCAGATGCCTGTTCCGGTACCGACGTCGAGCACGTAATGCAAGTCTCTCCTGTCCTCCACTCCACAGGTCGACAATCGGTCTCCAAAGGTCATCTTAAGCAGTTGATGCTGGAGATCTGATCCCATCCACACCCTCAGCGAACCAATGAAACGTGGTGCACCGGGACCAGAAACATACCTAGACGATCCAATTCTATCTGCCAAGACAACTACATCAGCATCCTAGCGTCGTCATCTGGGGAAGTTATAGTTGGCCGAAATTCCATACCTCATCATTTGGAAGAACATACGCTGCTGAGAGTTAGCTCCACGTTTAGAACACTTCGATAGCATACTTCGTTCGCCGTAAGCGTTGTAGGTTCTTCCGTGTTCCTGGATGTAGTCAAAGACGCTTGACGTCAGAGAGGACGTGGACAGGATATCATCTTCCTGCGTCGTGAATGCGCCATTAGCTTGGGTCTTAGTGTTGAGACGGTGAAAAGCTCACTTCTCCCAAGGCTGAGTCCGCGTCATCTGCAGCTATGGGTGCGACCTGGCAAGGAGCATTAGTTATTATCTCTGGTTACCTAGAAGGCAAAAAGCCGTGATCAGCCCTACTGGTCCGGGATCTTGGTCGGCGCCGCCGTCATGATTATCAGCAGGGAGTGACATGAGGCCGAAAAATGCAGAGTATGTTGGCCGCGGAGCGATGCGAGAGATCTTGGTGAAAAGAGGTGTCCGTAGAGTCAATTTCAAGGGACTCGCACTGTTTTCTTCGAGATATACTCCAAGGCCTCTGCAAAAGGCAAATCCGAGTCTGTCCAGCTCGTGTTGCAATCGCGAGACCCTTGTACGCTTGTTTGATTCCCCCAGGAAGACCCTTGTGCAATGTGTGATACCTACAGTATAACCTGGGGATTCTAACATTGCCCATGTCCGGCTGGCTGCATCGTGTATCCCCTACCTCTCATAGCATGGTACAGGATGGACAGCACTCATTTGATCTCACGCCATGTGGCCTGACCGGCAACAAGGGAACTTCGTTGGGGAATCAAGATTCACACCTGCGGAAACATTATCCTCTGGTTGACCGATTGGCGAGCACGACATTCTGATTGAGTTTGACAGCCTCAATGGTCGAGGTGCTCAACCGCCTTTCTCGTTTTGCGTCATATGCAAAGTCTTTTGCATCTGCTGACATGCATTTCGGTTTGCAACAGGGTTACTGGAGAAAAATCGAAAATGAGGTGCCGTCACGTGCGACGGATGTAGCTGCACAATGTCCATTCCGGATGTGATTTGGCTGGTGTCACAGTACTGCGTCAATATCAACATCTGTCGGCGACATGTTGGGGAATCCGCAACTGGAATATTACGTAGGAGAAGGGCTGGGGAGGCATTCATGCAGCATGGTCCAGGGTAGTATCCGGGTATTTTCTTGTGCAGTATGCGGGCAGAGGGTTCTAGGCCCATCGAAGAGTGGCCCTTTTCTCCTGCGGCCAGTCAGTAATGGAGCAAGCCCACAGTGCGATGCACAGCAGACTTTGAAGTGCTTTGACTGGACAAGACTGGAGTGAGGGCTATTGCTCGACACCTCATACAACTGGGCGGCTAAGAGGCGCGTAGTCGAGAGTTGAGACTATCTTGTAATGGCCGGGGTGTGAGTGGCTTTCTAGGTAAAATGATGGATCATACGAAAATGAAGGCCACAGCCCACCCCGTTTTTTTCTTCTTCTTCTACGCCCATCACAGTCACGGTCGTGGTCATGGTCAGTAGCTTGTCATGCTCCTCGCTGATAAACAGTGATAAAGAGCGTGGTGGCTGAAGGCATTTGCGGCCTCTCACTTACTTGTCGCCTTCTCAGGTGTGCGTTGCCTGATGCAGGATTTGTGACATCCCATGCCACGCTTGCTGCCTGCTCCATGAGATCAAATGAGATCCCACCTGCGGCGAGCCTCATCTGCGGCCCTCCACATCCCCATGTCTTTATCATGGCGACTTCCGATGTCACCTCTCCCAAGTCCCCTGGTCGTCTCCTCTCTGCAGGTGTGCCTTCCGTCTTTGCATATCTCTTCTCCTTGTTCAGTATCTGTACCCGTCAACAGCGTGTTGATTAGCGGAGACACGTAGAGTCTCCGCCATAGACGTAATTTTCACACAATATGTTGAGGCCACCCGAAGGCCAGCTGTTGAAGGAATTCTCGCAGCTGCTATTGTTGTCTGCCTTTCCTGACAGCCACGAGTCGTTAGAACCCGATGGCGTCGAGTCTCCGCCGACCCTCACTTCCCAACTTTTCGTCAACGACTTCGATAGCAGCCTAGAATTTGACTTCGATCATAGCTTTGACATTGTCCCGGGACGACTTACCGTTCCGTCCGACGTCTCTGCGCTCCCTCCATCCCCGATTCGACTGATTTTCAAATGATTTGTGGGCGCCCTTACCTATAACACAATTGCAAGAGACGGAAGAACAGGGAGGCGTTCTACTTATCTGCAGTCCCAACTCCACCGATTGCCGTCTGCAACAGTACCAAGGACCGGAAATGAAATCCTGCAAGCCGGAAAAAGCTCAATCATGAGTACAGTCGCTCATTACCCTTAACTCTTGGTTCGTTTCAAGCATGCAAGAAGCAAGTCGACCGCCAACGTGGCTGCAACTGAGTGCTCTCACCAAGTCAGCTTGGAAGTTAGAGGAAACCATGAAGCGAATCATTGCTAATCTTTCCAGCCCACATTTAGAAACTCACAAGCAAGACTTCAAATGCTCCTTCACTGGATGTGATTTGAGCGCCCACCGCCAGCCGGACGTGGATCGACACATGAAGCAAATACATTGCCGCGAGAGACCCCACATGTGCAACGCCTAACGGAAACACTTTGGACGACGAGAGGATCTCAAGAGACATCTCCAAGGCCAAGGCCACGTCAAGAAGTACGGGCAGATCGATACCAATAGCCCGCGGAGTGAGAACAGACCATCATCTTGGAGGTCATTGGAGCGATCAACTGTGACTCGACAACGCCTTGAGCTAGGTCGTAGGCGAAGGCAGACAGACAGGTGCCAACTTCAATGACAATGTCTCGCACTGACTTGATAGGTAAGTTTGTAAGTGCGCATCTTCTATCTTCGACCTTCGCCAGGGCGTAGTATTTGTAGTAGTCTTGCTCAAGAGTCAATTCGGGAGGTTGACCCCTGGCCCGGCCGATTTCAAGAAGGTTACGATGAACCGCGCTCCGGGCACGTATCGACCGAGGCTTGCGTCTTATCGATAATGCGCGTCATGGTGAGGAAGAGCTTGCGGTTTGTTGTTTCCTGTCATTGATTTCAAGGAGCGTTGCGTCCCCTACACGGAGTAATTCGTGCTCTCTCGCTTTGGTGTTGGGGTGTTGAAGGAGACGGAGGGTGAGAGTGGTTTTAAAAGCGGCACCCGCTGGGTGAGTCGCAGGCGTCGTCGCCGTGTAAGCACCGGCAAGCAACGGCTGCGCAACCAACTCGCTTCGTTCGCTTCATTCGCTTCTCATCCGCAGGTACACGTTTCATTTATTATTGGCATTGGATTGTTTGCGCGTTCGCTGGCCTGCATTGCTGTTCAATTTCCCGGCTTCTACCTGTTGTTCGCTTTTGGATAACTGCTGCAGTATTGCTTCTGTGTAGCAACTACTGCAACTTCAGCCCCTCCTGATCTGATCCTCCTCTCGCCCCGAAGATGGTTCAATATCGCGACAACGAAGACGATCCCGCTTCTGAAACCCTTCTTCTCGCGGACGAAGAGTCGGAAATCGGTGCCCAAAGTCCAGAATTGCACGTCCAATCCACCCCGGAATCACCCTCCACGACTGCGCTCCCCATCCCTGTGTGGCTACGGGAATCCGCCAGTTCCTTCGGCTACAAATGGGTGCCGTTGCCTCTCCGAAAAGCAGGCAGGGCAGTCGCAAGCTGGGTCAAGGGTCCAGTTCCTCCTCGAGTCCTCAAGATAGAGCCTATATACCCGAAGATCCAACAGGCACCTATTCGGCTTTTGGACAAATACGCCCCCAAGAAGAAGCAGCGGGTCATTCTCCTCGTGGCACTATACATGTGCTGGTTCCTGACGTGGTCGCTCATGCTCAAGACTCACTCTACATCCGGGTTCATCAAGGGATACGGCAAGCCCAGCAATCTGTGGTGCGGCGCCAGTTTCTGGAACGAAGGCAATGGATGCGGATTGAACGGGAACATGTGTCGACCTTTCTCCTCGGCGCATTTGACCTTCCGATGTCCTGCGAATTGCAAAGGCACTCATTTGCTAGAAGAACACATGGTTGGCAATCAATCTCTGCGGTATCAAGGGCTGGTCGTCGGCGGGCCCAAACCCGACGATCCTGACTCAATGCCCGTCTATCGAGCAGACAGTTTCATCTGTCAGGCAGCCATTCATGCCGGCATCGTTACGGAAGCCAATGGCGGCTGTGGAGTGGCCACGCTCATCGGGTCTCATACAAACTTCCCATCCAGCAAGGCCAATGGAATTGAAAGTACGAGCTTCCTGGGTACATTCCCTCGATCATTCACCTTTCAACGCCTCTCGCCCACTCAAGCGACATGTCCGACGGATTCGCGATGGCCTCTTTTCGTGGTCACGGCCGTCGCACTCGTGGTCCTATCCATCTTCACTACATCGCCCGCTGTCTTCTTCTTCAGCACCTTCGCAATCATGTTCTTTCACGTCGGCCTCGTCTCGGATCCACCCAACACCGCCAACTTTTACGAAGCAATCAGTAAACTGGTAGAACGTCTCCTTCCCGCGTCATTCATCACAGTCATCCTCTATCGCATCTCCGCTCTTCCACTGCTCCGCGGTCTGACTGCACAAGTCGAGAAGACGGTGCTATATTTGGGATTCTGTTTCATCGGCGCGTTGAACAACTATACATTCGCCCCCCTCATACCCATAGAACGACTCACACCACGCGACCTGGCGCAACCAGGCGCACCCTTCGCTCTTGCCCTCATTGTCACCATCGTCCTGATCATCGTCATCTCCCAGATCCATTTCATTCGCATCTCGGGCAACATGCCGAAATACCTCGCCATCTACGGGGCCATGGCTCTCGCATTGATCATCCTCCTTGTGCTACCCAACCTCCGACTGCGGATCCATCATTACATTTTGGCCATGCTGTTCATGCCGGGAACATTCACCCAGACGCGGGCCTGCCTTGCCTACCAGGGGTTATTGCTGGGACTATTCGTCAACGGCATCGCGCGCTGGGGATTCGCGTCGATAATTCAAACGCCCGCGGCGCTGGGCGAAGCGAACTCGGGCGGTGGCAGCGGCTCACCGGGATCATGGTGGGGCGCGAAATCGCCCAACGTGACGGCCCTTGTTGCACCAGACATCTCCAACATCACATTCAACTGGGGGCCCCTGCCGAGGGACAGTGGGGTGGATGGCGTGAGCATCCTGATCAACGACGTCGAACGCTGGCGCGGGTACACGGACGAAGAACTCTTCTGGGATCAAGAAGGGGTAACGTTGAAGAGACGGCGGGAAAGAGGTGACACCGAAGATTCCCTGGAGCCCGAGTTCTTCAGGTTCGCATGGATGAGCGGATCTCAGACGGGGCTTTACTCACGCGTGGGGTTGTGGGATGAACATGGCCAATGGCATGCGCCGGACGAGGGGACGACAAAGAATATGGGAATCGGGGGAGACGACGACGAAGTCCAAAATTACGGAGGCAAGTTCGATGTTGTCGACGAGGCTGAGGAAGAAGAGCGCCAGGAGGTGGGCGCTGAAGAGTTATAGTCCCGGACGACGGAAGCCACACTACTAGAGTATATATACACTGTGGTCGACCGGATTGGATATATACGCAAGCACGAAAGAGACCGGCCGGGCTCGGTTGGATGTGTGGCTATGTAGATGTGCAGGAGATGGACAGACATCAACCCGCCCGGGACACATCATACCCCTAGCTAGATGTGGATGGACTTATGTATGAAATGTGGAAATGATTCGTGATGCATGTAAACGAGACGAGCCGAGATGAGCCGTGCTATAGCCTGTGGCCTGCGGCCAGAGAAACAAAAGGACTACAGACAGTAGAATGTAGCTGTGTATGTATGTATGCTAGGTATCTCATACCTAAGGAGGCATGTAGGCTCGTCGCCAACTCAAGTGCACAACACCACTAAGAGCCGAGCCGAGCCTGCCTACATACCCACAGTACTTAAGCGTGTATAATTTTACAACTTGGCCTTCTGCGGCCTCTCGGCGTCCTCCTTGTACAAATCGTCCAACAACGCCCTAAACCTCTTGACGGCAACCGGCCTCTTCAGCTTCAAGGTCGGGGTCAACAGCTCGTTCTCAATCGTAAAAGGCTCCAGCATCAATCTAAAACTCTTGACTCTCTCGTACCCCGCAAACTTCTTCCTGCGACCGGCCTTGTCCAGATCCCTGAGCACGGCCTCTTTGACTTTTGGTTCGTCGCATGCCCGTTTGAGAGCGGCAAAGTCTGTTGGGGAGATGTCGCGAGACAGGATCTTGGATGCAAAAGGGGCAAAGACATCGGGTTGGATGCCGAAGATCGCGACAAGGGATGTTTGTGACGAGTCGCCGTGCACAAACGCTTGCGCCAAATACGTGCACGAAGACAAGTACACACCTTCAATGCGCTCCGGAGAGATGTACTCTCCTTGAGCGAGTTTCAGAACGTTCTTGCGGCGATCGATAATCCGGAATCGGCCCCGCTCATCCACACTAGCAATGTCGCCAGTCTTGAACCAGCCATCGTCCGTAAATGCTTTGGCTGTTTCTTCCGGGTTCTTATAGTATCCCGTAAATACGCATGCACCTCGCAGTAAGAGCTCCCCGCGGGGATAAGGCTTGTCTTCAACACTGTACTCCATGTCGGGCACGGAGAGCAGACAGGCTTCCACACCGGGGACGACACCGCCGCAGTTGCCCACTGTGAAGTCGTCGACAGGCTGGGTCAAGGCGATCGCATACGTTTCTGTTAGTCCGTATCCCTGATATACTCTGGACGATAGGGCGACGCGGAGGAATTGTTGCAAAGAAGGGTCAAGTGGTGCTGAGCCCGAGACAACGGTTGTGGCATGGTCAAGGCCCAGAGCGGACGCGACCTTGCGACCCCATATGCGGTCGTACAGCACGTGATGGTAGGTCGGGCTTGGCGGAGTGGATCCGGGCACTTTCGGGGCTGGGTTCGCGTTTGCCAGTTTCGTCCGTACAATATGGCGGCTCAATGCGCCCTTGACGCCCGGCTGTTCGACCGTGTTGGCCTTGATGGCCCCCCCAAACCGATTCAGTAGTCTAGGCACCGACGCGAAGTTGGTGGGACGCAGGAGTTTCATGTCGTCGACGAGTTCGAGGATGTTGCCATGGAAATATCCGATCCGACTGCCGCTCCAGAACGCAGTGTGTTCAAGCAAGCGGCCGTAAATGTGGGCAAGAGGCAGATAGCTCAATGCCACGCTATTTTCCTTGACTGCAATTGAGACGAGCGAGGAGGAAGTGGCTGCCACGCACATTGCGTGGGTGAGAAGAACCCCTTTCGGTGGACCCGTAGTCCCAGAGGTATAGTTGATGGTGATGGGGTCTGATGGTTTGGGCGGATTATTTGGCTTCCCCAGCGATGCTCCAAGCTTTTCCACCGTATCGAGCGAGTAGATTTTGAGGCCGACATCTTCAGCCATAGAGTTGAGGAGCTGCTGCTTGGACAACTCGGGCTTCTCATTGGGGCCCGGTTCTAGGGAATCTAGCACGACCAAGATTTTGAGGTTGGGGAGCCGTGCCTTCAATCTAATGAGTGTCGGGACATGCGGGAGAGAGCAAACGACCGAGGCCAATTCCGCATGTTGAATGATGTATTCTGACGCGTCGGGACCTAATGTGTCGTACAGAGAGACCGAATAAAGCGACTGGGACATGCAGGCCAGGTCGGTGAGTTGCCATTCGGGTCTATTCTGACACCACAGCCCAACGCCGTAGTTGGCGCCCTGAATGCCTTCTCTTGCGTGCAGCTCGACCAGCCCGGCGCCGAAATCTGACCTCCTCTTGCGGACTGTCTCGTAGTCTAGCCATTCGTAAGGACCGTATGCCTGTTTGGACGAGTCGTAGGGACGGTAACCTAGACACGGAGCGTGAGGAAATCTCTGGGCGGCGTATTCAAACATTTCATGGGCCGTGGTAACGGAGGGATCGAGGGTGTCGAGAAGGTCATCGCGACATTTGTGATGGCGGTAGATGGGGCTGCGACCGGATTGCTCAGAGCCTCGGAGGGGAATGGAATACGGCTGGCCCTTGGGAGGCGGTTGGTGATAGTCGTCGGCCTTTTGCACGTAGAGCGGCTTGGACGAGAGAAGAGGCATGGCGGCGACGAGGGCGGACGAGAGGCAGACGAGGATAATGAAGAGGTCAAGCAACCACTGCGTTCAACGGAAGGAGAAGTGGAAGGAGGAAAAAGCTGGAGTATGGGGGAAATGGCATGCGGGTCTTTAACTCACAGGAGCAGGAGGTGGAAGTAGCCGGAGCGGCGTCAGATTCACTTAACACTGCCAGATCAAGGATGATGGATCTTGCCCTGTGCTGGGGCTGGGGCTTGGGCTTGGAACCTTGTGCGCGTGCCTGGCCAGGAACAAAACGAGAAGAATGGCCGCCGGAGATCGGTGGGTGGAATGCAATGCGAGTGTCATCTGCTGATTCTCCTTTCTTGGGGTGTGCAGCGTATGGCGTCGATACGGGCGAAAAATCATATGCCATGCGACCCGGCGCCGGCTTGATCAATACCCCGTACTACTTCTTACAACACCAGAGCCCAAGATGACTTGGGCTTCTAATACAATCATACCTCGGCATCCCCGAATTAGCCAGACTTTTGCCAGGGCCCGCAGGGCCTGATTGGAATATCCCCGAACCAGTGGAGCGGCCAACGGACATGTAACCAAGATGGTCAGCAGTATGTGCAATCATATGTGCAAATAGCAAGAGCTAAAAAGGGCCTTGGGAGCAGGACTCGGCCGAGCAATGGATACGAACAACATACGGAGTCCTTCGTAATACGTAGATATATCCAGAAGGCAACTTGGATTGCCGAGCTGGGAAGCATGTGAAAATCCGACGCTGTCGTTCTGGTTGCTATGAAAACCGTCATGACCGTCTCACAACCACCGATTGGCTGCTTGAACTGAAGCTTCCTTGCCCCCTCCAGAATCCCCAGCTCGAGTGCCCGCTCTCCCCCTCCGTTGCTGCTCGTTCTCTTCGCCGCAGAAGACGCAGAAGACGCAGAAGAATACATCTCTATCAAAAGACACGCCCTCTTTCTTGTATTCTACCCCGGTCTCTTTGCGATTCAAACTCCATCGTCTAGAGGTTCGGCCCTGTATCCAATGTCTTGTCAGGATTCCTCTTTCTGGTATCGCAACATTCCATGAAACGAAATGAGATCAAAAAGGTCAAGCAAGAAGATCAGGTTGCCCCACTGAGAGTCGCCTCAGAACTTGGCTTCGCTCCGACCGCTGCATTGTCCTTGTTGCCCTCCGCATCCGGTCGCGCCGCCTCGCTGGCGGCAAAGCTCTGCTCAAAGTCGTGGATAATGTCGTCAATGTGCTCAATCCCCACACTGATCCGGATCATGTCCTCGGTGACGCCAGAGTCTATCCGCTCCTGCTCCGTCAGCTGTTCGTGCGTTGTCGACCACGGATGAATGGCGAGCGTCTTTGCATCTCCAACACTGTCCTCGGATTAGCTGTACAGACTTTGGACCACTCACAGAAGCACCACTTACTTGGCCAGGTTGGAAATAATCTTGAATCCGTCCACCACCTGCGATCCTGCGGCCGAGCCACCTTTGACCCCAATAGACATGACTCCTCCAAACCCCCGCGGCAGATACTTTTTGGCTAGCTGATGATGGGGATGGCTCTCAAGCCCCGGATACGACACCCACGCAACGTTGGGATGCTTCTCAAGCCACTTGGCCAGCCTCAAGGCGTTCTCCCCAATCCGCTCGCATCGCAAGCTCAAGGTCTCGGTGCCCAAAAGGAATTGCTGCGCGTTGAAGGGTGACATGCAGGATCCCAAATCACGCAGGATCTCCACTCGCACCCGAATAATGAAGGCCAAAGGCCCAAAGGTGTCATGGAACTTCAAGCCATGATAGCCGGGAGCGGGATCGTTGAACTGGGGAAACCTTTTCGCGTTGCCTGCCCAATCAAACTTGCCCGAGTCGACAATCATGCCGCCAATCGAGGTGCCGTGGCCGCCAATCCATTTGGTTGTGCTGTGCACCAGGATATGTGCACCGTGTTTGAGCGGCTGACAGAAGTAACCACCTGCACCGAACGTGTTGTCCACCACCAGAGGCACGCCCTTGGCATTGCAGACTTTGGCAATGGCTTCAAAGTCCGGGACGTTGTAACGAGGGTTACCAATGGTCTCGACATACACTGCTTTGGTCTTGTCGTCGATAGCAGCCTCGAAGTCTTCGGGTCTTTCCGAGGTCAAGAACTTGGTGTCAATACCCAAGCGGGGAAACATGACCTTGAATTGGTTGTACGTGCCGCCGTACAGATTCGAGGTCGAGACGATGTTGTCACCAGCGTGTGCCAGCGCTGCAATGGTCATGAACTGCGCAGATTGGCCAGACGAAGCGGCAACAGCAGCAATGCCCCCTTCAAGCGCCGCAATTCTTTTCTCCAAGACATCCACAGTAGGGTTCATGATCCGGCTGTAGATATTCCCGAACTCTTTCAGACCAAAGAGCCTGGCGCCATGAGCACTATCATTGAAGGTGAACGAGGTAGATTGGTAGATAGGGACAGCGCGAGAATTGGTGGCCGGATCTGGCGAGTGTCCAGCGTGGACCTGAAGGGTCTCGAATTTTTGAACCCAGTCGTCGGAAGACATGGTGGAGGGAATTGCTTTGGTTGGAGAGGAACAATACAAGAGCTCAGACACGAGGCCAATGGAATGGATTTAAAGACGGGGGGAAGCCAGTCAATGACCGGGTAATGGACGTTAGGATCGCAGGATGGCAGGGTTGCTAGATCGAGTTATATATGTTCTGGGTAGAGAGGAAGAGGAAGAGAGAGTGGGAGGGAGGGAGCAGTACCTGGATTGTTTTCTCGGGTCAATGGCCACAGAGAGCTCTCCACCTATCCACGGACGTACAGAGGAGCCAGGGAGCAAGGAAGATACGAGGTGACCCAGGCAGAGGAGCTTCTGAAGATCGCGTGCAACGAAAGAAAAAAAGCTGTTGGAGGGGCCAAAGGGACGTGCCTCGCTTTGTCGCAGCTCACCTTCTCCTTCCTCTCTCATTCTTCCCCGCATTCAAAAGACTCAATTGGACGCGGTGCTAAAATATTGCGTGATCGGACCATCAACCCACGTCAGTTCGAGCCAGAAGCAACTAAGCAACCTCGCGTTTCGGGGACTGGAAAAACTCAAAAGGGCCCCGGAATAGACACCCAAGACAGCCCAACTTGTTCTATCGTCAATGGTGACTCAGCCGAGCAAAGGCTGGAGTGCGAGACTGGAGAGCTTTATTGTAACATGGGAAATGCGACCAGCCTTGTCCCAACACGACTAGGCGATCCGCCGGTGAGCTGACCAGGCTTGGTACCTGACATGAAACGCGGGAAATCATGATCGAGGCATACAAACATGCAGCGGACATGCAACTTACTGCAACGAGGAATGGGTTTCTGTCTGCAGCCAAAGTGCTGATGCTGATATCCGAGGCTGAGGATCCTGAAGGCCAAAATCTTCGGCTCCGGGTCGGAGAACAACGTGAACTTATCTAAGCGAAGCCAAGGGGCACCAAGATAAAAAAATCCCAGATGGTCACGTATGTAGACTGGAAGAAAGGGAGCAGCAACACGAGCTTCTAGATCCATGACGATGTCTCATCGACCTCATCAGCCAAGTTGCTAACTTCCTGGCCCCCAAGCTGGGCTTGAATCCTTTCTTCTTCTGGAGCTTACTGGGGGAAAAAAAAAAGCAAATCAAGGCGACCATCACTACACCCCTCCTGGCAATGGGGCTGAACAACAACATTCATGCCATGCGCAATCGAATAATTCCCTTGCGTGGAAGGAGGCCAGCCTTTCTCGAATTCCGCTCGTCCAAGATCTTCATCGTATTCGCTGTCTGCTGGTCCGTCTTCACCGTAGGTGTCTGTTTGCCATTTATGCGTAGCCTTCCCGCTGCTCACCATGTTCCAGGATGTATTCCTCTACGGGGTCGTCGTCCCTGTCATTCCCTTCGCGCTCCAACAACGGGTCCACGTGGCCCACGCAGATACGCAGCGTTGGGTTTCCGTCCTGCTCTCCGTATATGCAGCTGCATTGCTATTCTTCGCCCCCATTTGCGGCATCATGGCCGACCGGACGAGCTCTCGCCGTGGACCGTTTCTCGCGGGACTTGTCCTCCTCACTGGATCAACTTTGATGCTATGCCTGGGCAAGACCATCCCCGTGCTGGTAGTGGGAAGGTTGCTGCAAGGTGTGTCGGCTGCTGTGGTGTGGGTGGTCGCCTTGGCTCTTATGGCAGATACGGTGAGTGAGCAGGAATCCGGTCAGGCCATTGGCTATGTCAGCCTTGCGACCTCGTTGGGCGTCTTGGTGGCTCCGCTGATTGGTGGTGTGGTATACGAGCGGTCGGGATACTACGCCGTGTTCGGAGTCACCTTTGCCGTGATCGGATTCGACATCCTTTTGCGGCTGGCCTTGATTGAGAAGAAAATCGCCGCGAGGTGGCTCGAACCAGACACTGCCACAGATCAGCCTGGGTCGACTGCTCCCGCTCCGCAGCAGGACATTGAACTGGCGGATCGGAAAGAATCGAGCGCTATCGTCGAGAAAAATGCGAATACGGCAGTCGCCGAGCCTTGCAACACGCGCCCTGCCCGAAAACTACCATCCATGCTGATCCTGCTCAAGTCGCGACGTATTCAGGTTGCATTCTGGGGGAATCTTGTTGGGGCCATGACCTTTACCGCCATCGACACCACTCTTCCCTTGTATGTAAACCAAGTTTTCGGCTGGAATTCTCTTGGGGCCGGATTGGCTTTCCTCGCTTTGATTGTGCCGGGCTTTGCAGGTCCATGGATAGGACATTTGACAGACAAATACGGCCCACGCTGGATTGCAGCGTCCGGGTTGGTGCTGTCAGTGCCTTTCTGGGTACTGCTTCGGCTGGTTGACCATGACACAGTCGGCCAAGCAGTTTTGCTGTGCGCGCTGCTGGTGCTTCTAGGAATAGCAACCGCGCTTCTCTTAACGTCATTGATGGCGGAATTCAGTAAAGTGTGCGACGCAAAGGTGCGACAGGAGCCGGATGTCTTTGCAGGGAAGTCTGCTTATGCCCAGAGTTATGGCATCTTCAATGTGTCATGGGCCGGCGGTAGTCTGCTTGGACCATTGGTATCTGCTGCGGTCAAAAGCGCTGCAGGCTGGAAGACAATGACGTGGACAATGGGACTTTGGTGTGCCGTAGGGATTTTGCCTACTATTCTATATTCGGGAGGCATGATCACAAAAGGGAAGAGACAGACGAACAACGGCGGAGTGGTTGGGGACGAGTGTGCCTGAGAAGCGCGTAAGGCGGGCAATGACATAACCATGAAGCGGCGAGAGGTGCAGGGTATTTGTGTCTCTGGCGCCTCTTGACTTGATAAGTTTGGTGTTGGTGTTGGTGTTGTTGGTGTTGAGTGTCGCGGTGTGGTGTCGAATCAATCACAGTGACACGGCTGCACCTGAAACGCAGCCTTGCGCATCCATTCATCACCAATGTCGCAGCCTTGCAGCCTCGGCTGCTTGTCGCCTCTCGTTTCGTCCAAACTTCAACGTCGTCGTTTGTTTCATCTTCTTTGTTCTTCTCAGACTGCCATCATAATGTCAAACAGGATCTTCTTCCCCCTCCGTCCTGGCCGGCCAACGGTCGTCCATGCGTGTCATCCTCTTTGATGAGATCTCAAACAGTCAATCTTGCTGCACACCCACGGCGTTTCCGGTTCGCGTCTGGCACAACGATGAGGATCGTCGGCCAGAGATCGCTGATCGCTTTATGAACACTTGTCTCGCCCTTTCTTTTTCTGCGTCTCTTGGTTGTTGCGGTGGTGCAAATCCATATCATATTCTTCTATTTCCACACCCGCGCCGGTTTGTGAGTGTGCTGTATTAGTACCGAGTACCCGCATTTGTTGGCAATAGCATTCTCTAGGCGGGTCCTCAAATTCATCCTCTCGGCGACGTCTTGATCAGTTTAAATTCATTTCTTTTCTGCTGAACCTCTGTTTGGATCCATCATCTTCAATCGCATCAACTCTCACATCCAGGACCCTCACGTGTCATCACGTGTCATCATCTAGCCTTGTCCACATTGCCATCACCATCACGAACAGAAGCAAGAATCCCCCCAAGATGTTCATCAGCCCAGTCCTCATCCTCCGCATCGTTCAAGGTGTGCTGGCTTTCATCGCCATGGCACTTGGAGCAACCGGTGAGTTTGTCTCCTCACTTGAAGACGGCGCTGACAGACGATGCAGTGGCCAACGTCCTTAACACTCATACTCCAGCACTCGATGTCCCAGCCGGTGTGGTCTTCTTCGTCTTCGCTGCCGTCTTCACCATGCTCGTCACGGTTCCCTACACCGTCTTGACACCTCGCTATTTCCCAGCCCTGGCCCATCCGTTCGCAATGCTCGCTGCCGAAGCCACGACCTCGATCTTCTGGCTGGCCGGCTTTGCCGCGGTTGCTGATCGCTTGCGACGATCCGATATTTGCGAAGTCGGCGCGTGCTCGTCTGCCAAAGGCAGTGTCGTGGTCGGGGTCTTCGAGTTGTGAGTGTTGAAATTCCTTACCTCTTCGTCTTACTGACCAAGTCAACAGCATCCTTTTTGGAATCACAGCCTTCTTTGCCTTTTCTCACATCTTTCTCGGTGGTAGATTCAGCGGGAACAGAACTCAGAACAAGCAGGTGCAAGTGCACCGTTCTTGGGCCGGGGCTGAGCGTGTGTAAGGGCCACAGCTGAAAAAGAGCGTCTCATGTAGATAGCATAGCAGAGAAGAGAAGAATGATACTGCGATCTCAACAAACCTCAACGGCAGTTGTGTTGCGGGTGCCCGCCTCAAATCATTTTCTTGCTGTTGCCAGTTTGCATGGGCGGTTGACGGAACCTGCAACCCTGCATTTCACCACGTCTAAGTCGGTGTGTTGTTGCCTCCTTCTTTCGCCTCACTTCACATTGTCACCATCGCGTCCGTCTGCTTGTCGAGCTGACATTCATTGTCAATGCAGGTGGACCCCATGCTCTGCAGAATATCTTCCCCTGTTTGTCTCCCAGGCTACTCCTCCCAGCGATTTCGATGTGTTCGGGACGCACCAGGTGCCCACCAAAGCGCCTGCCGACTTTCAACGACGGTCGTCTGATGATGAAGTTTCTGAGCTCTGGGCACCCTCAATAAACAGGTGGGACGCCGACGCAAACTGAGATGCTCCTCTCCTTTGCCGACGCTTTCTAAACGATGCCGCACGCCAGCAAACCTCCCATTCATCCGCAAGCCGATCCTGCCACAGGAACATCCTCATCATTTCCTCTGTATCTTCCCACGATGTCGCCTCTGGCAACCGGTTTATCAGGCTGTCAAGAACAACATGTCTTTCTGGGGAAGCATCAATCTGAGTGTCCCAAGCACTTGCGGTGACTATTGAGCACCAATAAAGACACCGTTGCAGCCACGGGTTTCGAGGGATCTCGGGATGCGCATTGAATGTCTCTAGGAGGGGCCGAAGAGGTCGCGCAAGCGGGATATGGAACGACATCTCATTGTATAGGTGCAGACAGAAGGCCAACAATGCTCGAGATATCTGCTCCTCGATCGGAGTCAGCTGCAGGGCAGAGAGGCATTGGAGATCATAAATCGCTCGCTGCATTGTCATATCAGGCTTCGGTTGTGTCTCCCTTTCTTCCTGCGAGGATGCAAGCCAGTTGATGAGTTCCGTCAGCTTGACTAAGAAGCTGATGACTTCGACCGCTATGCTTCGGCCCAAAGCAACCTCTGCAAAGCCCGCTGGCAACTTGGCAATGACCGCGCAAAGGTCCGGGAGAAAGGGGTGGCCTGGATACGTCAATGTACTGATTCGGTGACCTTTCTCATTGATCCGCTCCGCGTAACTCGGCTGATTAGCTTGCAAGAACGAGGCAAGCACTCCAAACCTATGCAACGATGAGCCTGAGTTATATGAGTTTAGGTGGATTCCTCTTACGCCAGAACCCTGCCTCGCACAAAGTTTCTAATCCCACTATCACCTTTGAGGTTGGTGGATGCTAACATATTCTCCAACGCACGAAGATGAACTTCAAAGGATTCTAAATCGTTGATCATATACTAAACTGTCGTCAGACTGGAAAAAGTTCCGTGCTGGATCCAGCAAGCCTTACGTTCAAAGTGAGAAGAGTGGACATTGTCAGCAATACGAGGTCTGGATTGGGCAGTTTAGGAACCATGAGAGTATCTCTCAACTCTCTCATCGCGACTCCTCGGTGTCGAAGCAGCATCTTGTCGGCAAATGGTTCCGATCCCCTTCTTAACACCCACGCGGCTCTCGTCATGGCAATGGTCGCCTCAAACAGCATCGAATTCTGAAATGCCAACGGAAGCACCAAGGCGAGAAGCGCATTTCGTCCAGTTTGTACACTGAAGGCTTGTGCTTGTTGAGGCGCCCATACCTGAATATCTGAGAAGACGGGTGAGCACATCTCAAATATCTTGTCGTCGCGGAACTCACAGTAATCTGCCATGAATTGCACGCCCTTGGAAGCCCGTGCGACGGGGTATTGAACAAAAGGATTGATCCTGTATCCACCTTCGACTGCGAGTAAGGGAGAGGGACAACGGCTATTTTCCGAATCGTCATCAGTATCGGGGGTTCGATCAGGGTTACTACGTGAGAGATGGAGGGAGCGCCGGCCACGCCAGGTCAGCGCTCCTCTCTGTGTGCTCATGACTTGGGAGATGGCCCGGACAGACTGGGATGCATTTCCCGTTCAGGTCATCGGTAGAGCGCTGTTGAGGACACCGAACGCCAAAAGGGTTATGGCTGTAGATGTACTGATGCTGGCAGATTCGAACATGGTTCACCTCATCCCGAAAGGTCGCCTTTGATTCATGAAGCCGCTCCTCAGGAAAGCCGTGACACGTCTTTGCGCGGGCGCCTCGGGGGCGCACTTTGGCTTGCAGCCACATGGCTGTCAACCAATTCGGATCTCATAACGGGTCAAGGTCAAAGCCCGTTGGTCTTGGACACTCAATCGAGCAGGTTTAACCTTTGAATCGCTCAGTGGTCCCTATCATCGAGAACTGCAGGCTTGGTCAGCTCCGGGCTTAACGGCCTCCTTATTGGCAAGCAGTTAAGCGGAAGGGTACCTCCCTTCACAAATTGCAAAGTTAAGGTCTGACTTTTGCAAGGAGTCGAGTCAGTTCTTGGCCGTGCTGCCGGGCTTCATCGGCCTGTTTGATGCCAGATTTCGTGCGAACCGTCCGCAGAATCTTCAGATCGTGAGAAGCGTCCATCTCCGGCCTCTCTGCAGTCCCTTCGCCGCACTTCGACAGATTTTGGCAAGTGGTGTGTCCCCCTTTAGGAAAATTAAACAATGCCAAAGACTGGGCAAGGTTCGATCGACAATTTGAGTAATCAATAAACCTGAGTGTCGGCCATACAAGTCGTCGTCATGCCCTTCTGAGAGGAGGCAAAGAAGTGAGAGAGTTGGTCCCCAAGCTGGTTGCCTTCGAATACATACGTGAGCGTACACGGCAATCCAACAGGCGATCTTCGAAGCAGGGTGCAAGGCCCGCGGCTCGCGGCTTGGTTCCGGCAGAGGCAAGGCTCTTCCGCAAACAACGCCCTCCTTTGTATCCCCCCTAAGCGCCGCCCATCTTGCAGCATGGCACGAAAGGTGGTAAGGCTGATCGAAGCATCCAGCGCAGCAACGACCGAACCATCGCAGCCTTTTAACAGAGCTCGCAACCCGCGGCGTTGTCAGGGCTTATTCAGCGCCTGTAACTATTATTAAGGATTCGTAGGTCCTCCGTACCTGCCTTGCTGGCTCACGGGAGGATCGAAGCGAGGATCCTTCGCCTCATACGAACGAATATGCATGCTATTAACCCCAGCAGGGGCCTACGAGGTGTTCTCGTACTAAACAAGGCAAAAAAAATCAAAAAAAAATCAAAAAGAATTAGAAGTCTGATTGGAATCTAGGGCCTTTTGTTTTTGTTTCAATTTGATCTGATACAAATCGCATCTGTCTCGGTCTCTCCCTGTCTCGCTCGCTCGCGCTTGGATAGCAAACTATATCTCGGGGTGATTGATTGATTGATTAGGCAAGAAATCTTTTTCGCTTCAGTTCTTCTTCTGGCAAAACGAAAAAAAAGGGAAGGGCACAGAATAAAGAAGGAGATTTGAGAGAGAGAGAAAAGAATCCGCCCCAAATTGATCGGTTTTGTGTTTGGGCCGTTCAAGGTACTGGGTAGTCGAGAGGAGGCTGTACAGTTTTCTTCTTCTTGTCCCCCCCGTTCTCGCGAATGGTAAAGGGCACATTACACCCACTCATTCGCTGTTCGGAGTAATAGTAGCAAAAGCAAGGGAGTCTTGCGACCTGTCTGCCCTTCTCATGCGTACCCTTTCCTATTACCTCGTTGGTGACTCGTTGCACGCAGCAGAGGCAGTGTTGAAGAGGAAGGCGGTAAGAGGCAAGGGACAAACAAGCGATTAATTCTCTGTCCTCCAAATCTCGACCACCCATCTTCCGTGTCTTGTCTTGGGGGGTGTAGATCCTGGTCCGTGACTTAAGAGCGGAAGGTTAGGTAATCCGCAGCCTATGTTTGCGCAAATCATGGCTGGTTAGTACAAGATTCACAGTGATCGTTCGAAGTCAAGGATATGAAGACTTCCCGAAGCAAGTCCTTGGCTAACCGATGGCGACATGCCGAAACTCACCTTGTCAATATTATAATCAAACTTTTCCAATGCCGCGAGGCTTTCCTCTCGTGACCACCCCATTGCGGTCAATCTCTTCAAGATCGGGTCGTCGTGTTCCGTACCCGTGCTCAGCGCTCGACCAGGCTGAGGTCGTTCGGCTTTTGATCGTGGCGGCGGGGATGTCTGTGCTGGCACGACGATTGCGGGCATGGGAGAAGAAACGCCCGACTGTCCTTGTGGTGAAGAAGGTATGGAAACCTCAGCGGTCGATGTCTGACTTTGCGGAAAATCAGCTGCCGGTTGCGATGAAGCGTTGTTGTTCGCGTTCGCGTTCAAAGGGGCGAAGAGGGCGTCCCAATCATGCGAGACAGGAGAGGTCGCCGGCTGTGCTTGCTGGGGACCACTCGATGTTGTCACCGGGGAATAAAGATCTTCATGTCCGACCTTTGGGCCCCCGTTCGTGACTGGGCCGGAAAGGAATTGTTGGCGCGCAGGCCGTGGAGGCGAGTCGAATGTAGGATCAAACTCAGGTGCACCATTCTTGGGGGGACTGAAGACGCCACCTTCGTCGTCATCGTCATCATCTTCATCTTCCACTGGTGCAGTCCCCACCCCCGAAAATGCCAAGTCGAAGTCAAATGGCGCACCTGCTGTGGACGGTGGTGCTGTGGCCTTGCCATCCGAGGGACTCCTTGGCTGAGCTTCAGGACCATATGCTGGTGGAATGCCACCAGGCGGAGGCCCAGGATGACTAGAACTTCCAGCCGCTGGAGGCGGTGAAGTAGGGTCTTCTCGCTCTGGTAGCAAACCCTTGTACTCTCGAGGGAACTGTGTCGGGTTGTCCTCGGGTACCGAATCTCCATAAGTGGGAGGGGATTGTTGAGATTCTACCCCTGGCAGCGAGCTAGCATTAGATAATGCGCCAGCCATGGCAGGGCGCGGTGATAGTGTGTTGTTCGGCTCAGGCGCGACCTCGGGTTGTTTGCCCGTCCTAACATCATTCGGGCTCTCTCGTGGTGGAGACCTTGTATTGAAGTCGTCGTCGAACTTCATGGGTGTCTCGTCTTCGCTATATTCACTGCTATCATCATCATCGCCGCCCAGTTCCTGAATGGCGGGAAATTCTTCGTTTCCGCCCTTCGGTTTGTCCATCTCGGCAAAAGCGGAGTCAAAGTCGGCAGCTTTCTGAGATGCTGAGCGTTGATGTGCCGGTCCCCCGAAGAAGGCGTCAAAATTCTGCTCGGGAGCCGTGGAGGGCGCCGACGGTTGCGCAGTGGTGGGTTTATCGCCATTGGTTGTGGCTGCGGCAACGCCTACGCCAGCGGCCAGAGCTGCGGCGCCGGCTCCAGCGGCGATGACAGTTGGGTCGACGCCCGGAGTGTCCGACCGTGAACCTGGAAACGCCCCAGGAATATCCTTCACTTGGTCACCTGAAGGTTTGCCGAAGGTTTCTTCGACCGCTGTTTCTCCGCTGGAGGGCTGAGGCAGGGTTCTCCGAATAGATTCCTGTTCCTCATCGGCTGCTGCAGCTGTGAAGATGTCTTCAGTTGAATCCTTGTGCTCGGCCGGGCTAGCGGTGGATGAGGGAGTTAATGCTTGAGGGGTTTCACCGGGGCTAAGTCTGCTGGCTGGCGCGGCGACCTTGACCGAAGAACTGATGGAATCCTCTCTCTCAAGTGGTCTGCGGAAAGGAAGTGCTGTCGAACTGATCTGTCGGGACTCTGGCGGAGCTGGAGGCTCAACAGCATCCCTCGGCGTAGATGAAGAGACTGGGGAATCAAGCTGCGGAAGATTTTGTTGCCCAGCTGGAGTTGACGGCTGGCCCGAGAAAGAGGTTGCGGGAGCGGGAGCGGCGGCAGCAAATGATGGTCCGAATATGCTGTCGAAAGCACTCTGGTTGTCCTTTGGCTCATCCCCGCCGACCGCAGGTGGGAAAGAGGTGTCTGTCGTGCGCCTGAAGAACGGATTGGAGCTTGTGGATGGCGCAGGGCTTGCAACAGGAGGGCTTTTAACCGTTGGCATTGGGATATTTCGAGTTTCTTCCAACTCCCTTTTTGACACTTCGGCTTGCCGAGCCGATTCTTCAGCCTCTCGCCGAGCGTCTTCAGCTTCCTTTTGAGCAGCAGCGATCTCGGCCTTTATTCTATCTCTTTCGGCCTCGTTAGTAGCTAGCTGCTTCTTGTTGATGGCCACCAAACCTTTCTGTTGTCTCGCATCGGACTTGAACTTCTCGAGCTGCGGTTTGAGCTGGTCGATCTCCTGGTTCAGCTGCCGTATGCGTTCCTTTAGCGAGGCATTTTCGCGTTGATCGGATTCCAGGGCTGCACGAAGTTGCTGGTGTTGGGTAGCAAGATCTTGGTGAGTGCCGTCAATCATGGCCATTTCTTGCTGCAGCCGTTTGGTATCGTTCTTGGAGGTCGTCAATTGTTCTTTGAGCACTTTGACCTCCTGGACCTCCTTTTCGTAAAGAGATCTGAGCTGCGCGAGTCGACCTTCAAAGGCTTTCTTCTGAGCTGATGCGCTGGACAGCTCTTGCTCCGTTTGTTTTCTCTCTGTTTGGAGCTCCGTCATTTGCCTTGATAGGCTGCTGACTTGGTTGGACAGATTGCCTAGTTCGCTGGTCTCGTTTGTAAGTTTCGAACTGATCTCGGGATCCGCATCCCCGAGAAGGTCATCGGGTTGCGATTTCGGTTGCGGCGCAGGCGAACCGGTCGATTGAGGGATGATACTTTGGCCAAAAGAGCTGGTCGGCACAAATGGTTTGAAGGTTGTCGCCGTCGTCTGTGGCGTCAAAACACCTGGGGGATTAGCGAAGGGCCCAGCATCAGTGCCACCCGTAGACTGGGGGGCTTGAACAGGAGCGACGGCAGGAACTGTTGGAGCAGGACCGAACGCATCGAGACCGAACAAGTCGTCAGCAGCAGAGCGTGGCTTTGTCGGAGCGGCATTTTCGAATGCCGGGGCCGTTGGCTGAGGCGGAGGGATCTGTAGCTTCCGCATGCTGGGAGGAACAAGAGCGGGGGGAAGAGTGGAAGGCAGAATTCCCCGTCCATCTTTTGTTCCCCGTTGTTGTCGGATCAAGTACATGGCAACCGCAAACTCGTCCCTGTTCAGTTGACCTTCGGAGTTGATGTCCGCTAAATCCCAAATTTGAGCCAGGATCTCTTCCGGTAGCCTAGCATTGCCAAAGAATTCGACCGCTTGCTCTCCGGTGATAAAGCCCCGTCCCTGACGGTCAACAGTTGCGAAAATACTGTCGAATCGAGCTTTGTCGGCTGGGGTTATAGCCCATGGCTCTCCCGTCGATTGCGCCGACAACGAGAGCGGTGTGCTTACTTGTGGCTGCCTGGTAATGGGACTTTGTGGACGGGCACTATAGTTCACCCCGGGGATGGCACTTGAGCCTGGGCGTGAGCCACTACCTACTCGGACAGCAGGTCGGCGGGTTGCGGCCTCGTAGAGGCCTGGAGGAAGGGTGCTAGGAACGCCGCGCATCTGGCCCGATCTGTAGGAAGCCAGGAGATGCATGGCAATCACGAATTCGGTGACATCCAAGGAGCCCCGACCCTGTGTGTCGGAAAGGCCCCATATCCGTCCGAGCACCTCGTTGGGCAGCCTTGCTTTTTCAAATATTTGTTTGGCCAGCAAACCTGAGAGCAATCCATTTTCCGCGCCTGATTTCTCAAACATGGTCGAATATTCAGCGACCTTTTCTGGCGTTAGGGCTGGCACACGGATTGGAGGAGGAGCTGCCGGAGTAGGGCTGGCCGGAGGTCCAGTCGATTGCTGAACGATGGGGTGTGAGGGTTGAGGAGGGTGAGGGTGTTGAGCCGGTTGCTCGGATAGGGGAGTGTCAAACCGCGGGAGAGGCGCGGCTGGGATTGTTAGCTGAAGGGTCTTCAGATGGTCTCAACGGGTGCGTACTCTGAGTTGCAAGGTGGGCCGAAGGTGAACGGCCATTTTGCGCATGGCCGATAAGTCGCAGCACCACCCCGAAGCCTGCTGGCGTGAGGAAGCCTCGATTTTCAGTATCGGCAATCTGCCATATCTGTAAAAAGTCAACAGCAGCGCACCGAAAGCGTTCAATCGCTCTGACCTGTCCTAGCACATCCGGAGCCAACTTCGTCCGCTCGAAGAATTTCACGGCCACATCTCCAGAGACAGCTCCGAACCCATCGGGGTCGGCTTCTTTCAGGAGTTGGCTGTAGACTCGCTTCTCTTCGGCCGTTAAGTTGAGATTCGGATGCCCTGGAATTGAGCGTGTCAGCGGCCTAGCTGGACGAACACCCGCTTGAGCAGGAGTGGCGAACCTGAAGCTGCTGATCCAATCGTCTCCGCCATGACCGGGTGCGATAGGGTTGTTGCGCGATCGGGATATTTCTAGAAGTCGCGCATTGACGGCATGAAGATGCGAAGGTCACGCTCAGGTAGAAACAGAGATGACGCGCAAGTGATTCTGGACCGAGCTTAATGAAAGAGATAACTTTTGGCAGGAATACAAGGATGTCGTCAAAGGCCTCTAAGGAAATGGCTGGAAGTCTTACGGCGGCGAGACGGATGGGAGAGAGAAATGGAGATGAGAAATGAGAGATGGGGAGGATTGCGATGACGAACGAGGAGCCCTGGGAGCATGCGGCTGCCAAGCCTGGAGCTCCAGAGCTGGAGGCGCCATTCATGAGCTCCAGGGCTTGGGTTGGGGCTTGATGCTGTTCCGAGCTCAAGGAAGGTGACCAGCCCTTTACCTAGGCTCCACTAGTGTAAAGAAGATTAAGCATCAACACTCACCCAGAATCATCTTCAAGAAATCGTCTGTCTGCAAGTGACTGGTGGTACCGGTGGTGCTGGTGATGAATGGCCTGCGTCAATTATGCACGTCTAATGCAACCTATGCCATGTTCTGTCTCACAGAGACTACCTTCAACAACACAATTTCACTCCCAATTCTTCGTGGTCGGGCACCCAGGATTGACTGAAATATCCCTTGCTCCTGCACTCCTTGCAATAGTCTTCAACATGTTCAGCGAGAAGGGCAAACACGAGAGGGTATGTAAACTAATGCTCAATCTCCGCCTCGTCTCCCTCCTCGATGGAGTCGCTGGCCACTTCCTCGTAGTCTCTTTCCAATGCTGCCAGATCCTCACGAGCCTCGGAGAATTCACCTTCTTCCATCCCCTCACCAACGTACCAGTGAACAAATGCACGCTTCGAGTACATCAAATCGAACTTGTGAGACAGAGCAGACCATGCCTCAGCAATGGCAGTGGTGTTGGAGAGCATGCATCTGCAATTCGGTCAGCGGACTGAAGAGTGTCCATGGAAAGGCGACTTACACTGCGCGGTTAACCTTGGCAAGATCACCGTTGGGCACCATCTGGGGAGGCTGGTAGCAGATACCAATCTTGAAGCCAGTCGGGCACCAGTCCACGAACTGAATTGTACGCTTGGTCTTCAGAGTGGCGACAGCCTGATGGACGTCGTTGGGAACCACGTCTCCGCGGTAGAGCAGGCATGTTGCCATGTATTTGCCGTTGCGAGGATCGCATTTGACCATCTGGTTGTTGGGTTCGAAGCACGACATCGAGATTTCTTGAACCGAGTGGGCCTCATGTTGTGCCTTGGCCGCTGAGACGACGGGTGCATAGGCAACAAGAGGGAAATGGATGCGTGGGTATGGTACAAGGTTGGTCTGGAACTCGGCGAGATCGACATTCAAAGACCCATCAAATCGCAGGGAGGCAGTGATGGAGGAGACGACTGTTTCTTGGTCAGCTAGGTCGTGTCAAACGTGAGAAGTGATGACCACCTTGGGCGATGAGTCTGTTCAGGTTTTCGTAGTTGGGTCGCTCGATTCCTAGATTGCGTCTGCAAATGTCATAGATTGCTTCGTTGTCTACCATGAAACTGCAGTCAGAATGCTCCAATGTGGTGTGCGTTGTGAGGATCGAGTTGTATGGCTCAACAACGGAGGTGGCGACTTGGGGGGCAGGGTAGACGCAGAATTCCAGTTTGCATTTTTTGCCGTAGTCCACGGAAAGACGTTCCATCAGCAAGGCGCCGAACCCGGAGCCAGTACCACCACCAAATGAATGGAAAACAAGGAAGCCCTGAAGGCCACTGCAGTTATCGGCCACACGGCGAACCTTGTCCAGCACTTGATCGATCAGCTCCTTGCCGACGGTGTAGTGCCCTCGAGCGTAGTTGTTTGAAGCATCCTCTTTCCCAGTGATCATCTGCTCGGGGTGGAAAAGACTGCGGTAGGTGCCGGTCCGAACCTCGTCAACGACATTGGGCTCGAGATCGCAGTAGATGGTTCGGGGGACATATTTGCCGTTGCCTGTACCAAAACAATCAGCGATGAAAGGCCAAGGATGAAATTCAATGCCGTACCTGTCTCGGAGAAAAAAGTACTGAAGCCCTGGTCTGGATCGGCGGCTTTGCGTTCTTCGGTGAGGTATCCATCGGGCTGGCTCAAGTCAATTTGTGGTTGGAGCCAGCGAAGAAAAAGGGTGAACCACTCACCTGGATTCCGTGCTCCAGGCAATATAGCTGCAAGAGTCAGTGCTTGTCCGAAGGCCTAGATAAGGATCACTGTTTACCTCCCAGCACGAGTTGGCAATTTGACAGCCAGCCTGGCCAACTAGGATTGCAGATGCAGGGTCAGCGTGTTGTCACAATTTCTCTGGACAGGGGGCTTCGAAGGTTGGTCAGGAACGCGTGCTTGGGGCATTCACGTACCATTCAAGCTGATGACTTCTCTCATGATGATGGGGTTCAGGAAAGGGACGAGGGGGAGATGAAGGATAAGACTGTGAGATGGAGATGGAGAGATGTTGAAGAGGGCAACGGCGAGCAAGAGCAGGAAGAATCAAATGTTGATGGAGCCGGAGTGTTGGCAAGCGGTTGTAATTGTGGGGTGGCTTTGGTGGATTGTTGACAACTTGACAGCGCGCTGTCTCCTGCTACTTTCTTCTCCTTCTTTCACCGCCTGTCCCTGCTGTCTCCAGCCAATCACATGCTCACAGCCCCCGACTCCACAGGTTCGCGTCACAGCCAATCATATGGCCGAGGCCCGAAGCTTCACCAAATATCAAATGTGCTTCCACCACGCACCACCATCATCTTTCACATCTCTCACCAATGGCATATCAACTCCTCGTCTTGTGGCTATTATGGCCTTACTGTGCCTTTGCCAACGTGGAGAAGATCATTTTCCTTGCTCCTCCCGCTGAAAATCTACCCCAAGATGCAAGTATCGACAATCTGTTTCTGACACGCCTATCTGAACAATACCCAAGTGTCAGAACTCACATCAATGCAAGCTTCCCGAGCCCAGACTCTCCGAAAGGAACGCAAAATTGGTTCCTCATCGAGGATCTTCGCCCGGAAAGACGATATGAGCTTCGAATATGTTGGCTGGCAACCGTAGGCGATCCCTCTCTGCCACAATGACCCTAGCTGACTTTTCCAGCAACCTACATCCTTCTGGCTCTACACGCACTCTCTGGATTATACTTTTGCCACTCCCGACCTTCTGGCATCGTTGAGTGAATACGCTTATGCGCGCCGTGCACAACTCGGCCCCGACGATACTCAGGCGCTCCTTCTCCGGAAGCCCAAGGTTGGTACCGCCAATACGGGGTCAACTTTCCTCTTCCTCCAGGTGTTCGCCGCGGCAGACTATTTTAGCTTGAACCAGACTCTGATGGAGATGGTGCCCCCGGTGGCCGTCGACGTGATTTTAGACCCATATATTTTCAACATCTTGCCCAAGTCACTCGCTTCAACGGGGTTATATCTCCTCGCGGTTGCGGTGGGGGCGTGGTTTCTCTCCGGCTGGATTGTAAGGCTCTTAGCCAGCCCTGTAGCCAAACAGGGTCAAGGGAAACTCAACAAGTCTGACTGATGCTATTCATGTCCTGACCATCGAGAAAGGATCCTGCAGTTGATCGAACTCCGTCATCAACGAGAAGAGAGGAAACTCTTCAGTGTACGAAGGGAGACTCGGTATGCCGGAACCATCCGGTGAGAGGTAATCTGCCTCTGGTATCTGCCCGAAATCGGTGCGCGGCAAAGGTGGAATAGGATCAACAGAATCCTCGCCATTGCACGCCAAAACGCCAGAGGTGGTCAATACAGGGCCGCGGCTCTCAGGCGGCATGTCAAATCGTAGCTGCCAAGGTGGCGCGGAATCACCGGACTCTTCCGGGGCATCAAACAGAGGAGCCGCGTTGTCGTTGTTTGGCGCAGCTTCTGAGACCGAAACCTGACTGGGGGTGTGATTGCCGGTAGTCGCTTTGCTCGAGCCGGCACCGTTTGTCTTGTTGATTGGGTCACCGAAAATGTTGTGGATGTCCTGCCTTCGCTTCTGCATTTGCATCTGGTCCCGCCTTCGGATATGCTCAATTGCGGCAAGGCGCAGATAGCTGGTTATCTCATAGTGTCGACGCGCCGACATGTCATCCTTTGCCATAATTGTTAAGATGGCTTCTGCTTGGGCAATGCTGCTGAGCAACGGAAACGACTTGTCGAAGTCACCAAAAATGGCAAATCCGATCACCATGGCTGATATGAATGTGCTGTTGGTGATCATGAACAATCGCTTAGGTACTCCCGGAGTATGAACAATATCAGTCGCAATTTCGATGCTTCTCAGTGCAGCGTCAATGCATGCCTCACTTAGAGTCATTGTCACCGAGTTTCCTGCGCTGTCCTCGTCTTCTGGACGACCTTTTATCTTTGAGGATACCTTGAAGATCAGAAATGGCCTGGTCAAAAGGATAATCGACCAATAGTAAGCACCCTTCAAGTGAGCGATTCCAATTGTCTGTCTCAAGGTCGGAGCAGTGGAGCCGCCTTTCTGGTCCAAGCTGTCGGCTTGCAGGCCTGCCGGCAGCTGCATAGTCCAGTCTCGATATTGTCGACTGATGCTTTCCACGAGCTGAACAGAGACTTCTCGACGACAATAGACCTCGTTCAATATCCGCTCAAAGATGAAACATATCCTCAGTGTCGCCGAGGTGTTGCGTCCATTCATCTGGATATCTTCATAGTCTCTCGTCGATCGGTTCCAAGACACACTCCCACCATCTACTTCCGACGTTGCAGGCGGTCGGCCCAGAGAACCGCTCATATAGAGATCAAGGACACGCAAACTCTTCCACACTCGCTCCCGCGCAAGCCTTTCTCTCGGCTCGAACAAGTTTGATATGTCGCTTCTGTGCAACCCTAGAGCGTATGCGGCTCGAACCGCGATGCCGAGCAACATAAAGGCGCCATTTCTTCTCACGGCAGACAACATGTAGAAGGTGATCAGGGCATAAGCCTGGATGGTCAGGACGCTGGGATCTTCCAAGAAACTCGAGACCCCGATCTCTCGACCGCGCGAGAAATAGAACTCTGCCTGATCTAGGTCGGTCGCGCTGCGAGTCAACGCCCCGATGGCCATGACTAGATAATAGATAGAACTGTTGAAATCCGTTTCAGCGGCAGGATCGTGCGTCCATGCGCACAGATGCTGGGTGATATCGTCAGGGTCAAACAGGTCAATCACGCCACTCGACGCCAGCAGATAATGCTTGATCAGATCCTGAGCCTCAGCCAAGGTGGGCTTAGGATGTTGCGATTGTGCAGGCGTCGGCGCCTTGGGCGGCGGAATGACTTCGCACATGGCATGTCGAAGAGGATCCGAGGTCAGTTGACACTCCCCGATCTCTGCTTTGACCAAGCGCCGGATATTCTGGACAAACGCCAGGTTGCTCGAATCGCCTACAAAGATGAACTTGCCGCGACCATCGCGGAGCAGTCTGGCCAGCTTCGGCACCGGCGCTCTCGAAACGAGTGCGTCCGGGTCTTTATCGTACTGGGGAGATTTGGGAGCACTTCTCGAACCGGACAGTGTCAGAAGCGATTCGATGGCGATCTCGGCATCATTGGACTCGTTCAGAGCATCCTTGAGAGTAATAGGATGGGACGACGCAATGCTGCTCTGGCGCTGTGAACCTCGCTTGGAGTAGGCCTCTGTAAAGATGCATTCATCCTCGCGGCAACGCCGCTTGCAGAGCAAACAGGGTCTATTGCCGTCGCACTTCTCCTTGCGCCGCTTGCAGGTGTCACAAGCCCGTGCCACTCGTTTTCGGTCTTCATCTTTCACGCGTGGACGAGGCATGACATGCTCAGAAGGCCAGACAGTCAGCCTTGTAGCCTTGCGTCGCCGCGTTCGATGACTCAGGGGTCGCTTTCCGGATGTTTGATGGGTACAGGTGGGCGAGAGAAATCGGATGCAGCACCTCGTGGAGTTTGGGAAATCGAAGTTTTGGTGATCAGCTGGGAAGCGTCGGAAGCGGGCGTGAGAAAAGTTGTGGGGGAGGGCGCGCAACCTCGCCCCCTAAATTTGGGCTGGTGGGCTAGTGCGGCGCCCCTCACTGCCCAGATTTTTTGGCTAGCGAGGCAACCTGCCTTTCGCCGAGGATGGAGCCTGGACAAGTCGCCTCAGTCAAGGTTCGCGGGGAAGGCCCAATCGCGTGAGACGTAAAGGTAAAGCGGGCAGTTTCCGGGCACCTCAATGGCAGGGGGCGGCAGGGGGGTACCTGTATGCTAGATGCATTTTGAATTGGGATTGAAAGTCTTCATTTATACAAGAATTGCGCATCATAAATCAATATGGTCGGCCCCGTTGCCATCCTCAAAAGCCGTGGCCCATGCCCTCGGTCACCAGCGCTTCACCAGATTCTCATTGGGCGCTCAATGGCGCCATCAAAATGTCATATTTCAGTTCCTTCTTGGCCTTCTCGTCGCCTTGCCGGGGCACGAATTCAACGATCAGAGAATCCTTGACCGCGAAGACAGAATCATCATCAAGATACTTGCTGTCCTTGTCGAAGATTTGGGTCGTAATGGGCTTGTAGCCCTCGGCCAATACCTGTAGGTCCGTCAACTGGCTGTCTTTGGAGACAGGAGACGTAAACACTCACAATGAAATGGATGTGTGCGGGTCGGTACGGATGTCTGTCGAGCAGTTGCAGCAGTTTGCCCGCTGGCCCATCGTATGGAATCGGATACGGGGTCGGCCTCAGGCAGTAGAAACCGTACTCTCCGTTTTCATCCGTGAAGAACTTGCCGCAAAGGTTCGACTTGGGCTGATTCTCGTCCTGCTGCTCGTACAATCCTGCAAGGTCTTTGTCAACCCTCCCTTCCGGACCACATGATATTGACGAAACCTACCATTCGTGGACGCCTCCCAAACATCAACTGAAGCATTGGCCAACGGTTTCTTAGTGGTCGCATCCACGACCCGGCCGTACAGGTATACCACTTCGGCATCCTCTGGAGTATTGGTGGAGATACTGTCGCCCTTCTTTCGAATCGTGTGGTCGGTCTGGAAGAAGGGTCCGAGAATAGCGCTCTGGGTGGCCAGGTCGGCAGCTTCGGCAGCTTTCTTGTATGTGATTTCATCCACGAGTCTGCCGCAGTCAGCATGGTCTTTCCAGAGACAATGTAGAGGGTGGCCTACGTCTCCAAGCCGACGACATCACACACCAGTTGACCTTCATTTCTTCTGTCGTTGCTCATTTGGCCCGCCCAATTGATCAATTGGACACCCTCAGCCCACTCGTCCACTGTCAATTCAACCTCTCGAGCAAAGTCGTGGAGATGTCTGGTCAAGCTGGTCATGATTTCGCGCATGCGAGGGGAGGTCTTGGGGCCCATGGCATTGATGACATTCTGTGTGAAGTTGGGGTCAAAGCGCGAGGCGCCGGCTTTGCTGTCAGCGTTCATCTTGGACAAGAATCGAGGATTGAGCTGAGGGATGGATCGGAGTTCGGGACAGAGTTCGACGGCAGCGAAGGCAAGGCGTCGAGCTAATGGAGAGAGCTGGATGTGAGGCCGAGAAGAGAATGGAAGACAACAACCAACGTTCGTCGCGGGAAGGAGGATCTCCGCGCTTCAAATAGGATTGGCAACTGCCATGAAGTGTTTCGTGGAGAGGCATCGTGGGCATCAGAGCGTGGAGATCGCGCCCCTGCGAAACTGGTCAGCGCAGCCGTCATTGGAGGCCACGGCCACAGATCATACGAACTTCAATGTACGAAGTTTCAACCCACAGCATCCCACAATACCCCGCCCCGAACACTCCCTGCATCGGATCCTGTGCCGCATGTTGCCAAGAGGCCCTCGCCCCCTTAAGCCTACAACCTGACTAGCCCGAGACGGGCTAGGCTTCACGAGCTAGAAGCAGTGGCCTTGCCCAAGACAGCTAGCGCAATGCCGCCGCTTGGAACTCGGATGCAAGCTACGGCACCAGGTAAGAAGTCGTCTACAAGTATTCACTTCCCACCGGCTCCAGCTTCGGGACGCGCACTCGCTTTTTTCTCTATCGTCCACCTCGATTTCATATTATCGGCCTGCAAACTCGCTCATGACGATGCTCTTTCTGTGGCGTGACGATCTAGTTCGCTCTTCTGACACTCCCAATCTTCCGTCAAAACTTATTATTAAACAGGACGGAACAATCCGCTGGCTGACCTGATCGTGTATGTGGACTGACCACCTTCTCCTCAGCAGCTTGGCCTTTCAAATCTGGAGTGCCGGATTATCTCATATCCATCTCCATGACAACGTACCTTTGCCTCATTTCTTGCTGTTCATCTCTATGCGGAGTGGCAGGATATAGAGGTTGGCACATCCCTCGCCCTTCAGTGGCGCATCTTTAAACCAGAGAGTGGGTTGGGAAAGTCGGCTCACACGACGGGGTGCAAGCTCCTGACCACACGAGCAGGATGTCAGCTTCCACAAGGCTGTCCTCTCCGAGCTGGTGACATCCGCTGCAAGGAAAGCAAATCATGTGTTCCTCCTGGGTTACCGGGGTCATACCGTGCTTTGCAGGACAGTCATCGCTACTCTGAAACCGCCCAGACCAAGATCATAGCTGCGAAACCAAGAGACACTGAAACGTGCCCATTGAGCAAACGGCGAGGAGGAAAAGAAGCCCTTCCACAACATCTGCTACACCGTTTTTCGACCCGCCAACTGACAGTCGAGATCGACATCGGCCATGTTACCAGCCTTTGACTTCGTGGCACCAATCTGAAGGCAGCAATGGTTCAATGCCGTGTTACCAACCGATTGCTCTCAGTTGTCTGACTGTCTCGTCTTTCGCCCGCAGACTTGTTGCACATGATTTGCTTGCTGTTGCTCTGTGGTGGCCATCCATCCTACCAAGATGGAGTGCAGATCTCGTCCACCTATCCCTTTTGTAACTACGCAGACTTTCTTTCTTCACAATGCTTCTAATCAGCAGGAAGAGCCTAGTTATGCATCGCGTTCGGATAGATACTAAGCGGCCGCCATTTGTGTCTTGCCAGAATGTCACCGAGAGCCTTGTCCATACCAGCGTCCTCAGCAACAACACAGTCTCCTTCCAAGCCAGCTTCCAGTCCTAAGTCCGGAAGTACGCCAAAACGGTCTCCGCCGTCATCCCTCAACTCCTTCGACGTAATTTCACCTCAAACTCTGCCGCCATGCACACCTCCACGGCCGCCTCGACCGAAAATCTCCCTACCAAACCTTCGTCCGATAATTCTCCTCTCGCCACTCGCAATTCCGCCGCCTTGTGCCCACCGTCTGCCAACGCCAGGCGATTGTGACGCATCTGATAGATTCTCAGACGATGTCTTTGCGTCGCTGCCGGAACATTTGCGGACCTCCCTGATTCCGCAGGTAGGAAGGGAGTCGCAAGGCTCGCCTTGCAACAAGGAGCCACTACCCAGGCGAATCCGCCGTTCATTACCTCTGCCACCATTTGCGGACACGAAAGACCCCTACGATTTCTGCACCATTCTACACCAGCCTCTCATACGCCTCTCACCCCAAGACCAAAGTCGCCTAGGCCCCAAGTCCTCCACGTTGAGCATCGAAACAGGTTCCGGCCCTTCACCAGACAGAGTCAGGGCAATGAACAGCTTTGAACGCGCGATCGATCAGAGCCGGCCCCGTGATTTCCATCGAGGGCTTCCAACCCTGTCTGAACCAGTCCAGACATCTCCTTTCACAGCAAGCCTATCAAGTCCGCGCGATAGCCCTTCTTCGTTCTCAACCGCCCCGAAACTCGAATCGGGTACGGGAGACCCGCGCCGGCTACGCCTGGGACTTTGTCATCCCTACCAACACGGCCTCTATGTCGAATGGCATGACCAAACTCCTCCTCTAAAGTCCTGGCATATCTTGGTCATCCGTCACAGACGTTTCCTGCGTATGGCGTGCACCGTCCTGTTCGTGATCATGGCGGCGACGGCTATAGCGGGCGGCGTGATTTGGAAGTTGACAACGGGTAAGTCGTTCATTCCTCTCCCCCTTTTGAGCTGTTCCAATGATTACCGCCTTTCTTGACCTCGGCGGAATGGAGGGTCGGTGAGAATGGAGGCCGCGCCGCTACATTTCTAACACTTTTATTTCGGGGGGGTCTTTTTTTTCTCTCCCTAAGACTCAAAAACCGATGAGGACTTCATGCTAACAGTGGATATCTGATTCTAGTAGACCGAGTTGATAAAGAGAAATAAAATGCTGGTTGCGAGACACTCTTTTGGAACACTTAATATGGCGTTTCCAGCGCCCCTTGTGAGACACAATTTTACTCTCGGAGTCCATCTGGCATGGGCACCTCTAGATGGCGTCTCAGAAAGGCACAAGCGGCTGAAAATAGGACTAGGCCTAGCAGATCCAAGGACTTGTATTCCCCAAGGCCTATCCTACAAATAGATGCCCTTGAGGCGAAATGCCTCATTTCTTGGCCTTCACCTTCTCCTTTGTCTTCCTGCCCTTCTGCTTAGCCTCGACGCCATCTTTCCTTCGAAGCTTCTCCTTGGTCTGTCCCAGCTTTTTGCGATCCGCAACTCTCGGGTCCAGTCCTCTGGCCTTCAGCCATTTCTTCTCTGCCTGCTCAATGAGTTCCTTGTCCTCCTCGTCATTGAACCCGCCGAAATCATCATGCGCAACAACCGCCAGCCCCTCACCCCCAATACCATTGGCAGTTGGTTTTCCATCTCCGTTGGTGATCGTGGCTGACTCTGATTCATCAACTCTGTTCATCTTGTCCGCGTTCTTCGGCGTAGGCCCCGTTTTCTTCAACTTGCAGACAAAGAACCCGTCCACGTTCTCTCGATGAGGGAAGTACCGTCTAGTCAATTTCATCCTGTCGTCGAACTTCTTGTTCATGTAATTCGTGAACCCTTCGGATCCAAAATTGCCCAATCCCGTATCGACGATTTTGGCATTCGGTCGTTTCCTCAAGATGTATTGCACCACACCCTCATTCTCTTCCACGGTGACCGAGCAGGTGGAATAAACAATATAGCCACCCGTTTTGCTGTTGTGGTCTGTCGAGTCAATGGCTGCCAGGAGAAGTTGTTTCTGCAAGTGTGGCAGAGCCAGGAAATCACGTTCGTTTTTGGACGTCTTCACACTGGGATCTTTGCCGATGACACCCGTGCCTGAGCAGGGTGCATCTAATAGCACACGATCGAAACCGCCGAGGACTTTAGGAAAAGCCTTTTGGGCATCATAATTACAGACAATGGTGTTTTTGCATCCAAGTCGGTGAATATTACCGATAAGACCTTTGGCGCGCTGGCGGTTGGCGTCGTTCGCAAACACCACGCCGGTATTCCGCATCAAGGCCGAAATATAGGTGGTCTTTCCGCCTGGAGCAGCAGCCATGTCTAGAATGCGCTCATTGGGTTGAGGGGCAAGGGCCATCACAGGGAGGAATGACGAAGCGGCTTGAAGAATGTAATGCCCAGCTAGATACTCAGGTGTTGCACCTAGCGGTACAGGTGCCTCGAAAACCTGCAGACCGACTTTGGACCATTTCCCGACCGGCTCCAAGACAACTCCTCGATTGATCAGTGCTTGAGCAAGCGTGCGTCGATTTGTGCGCAGGGTATTTGTGCGAAGGACGACCGGCCGAGGTGTTTCATTGGCTTCAAAGAAGGCAAATGCTTCGGCCGGGGTAAAGAGCGAGAACAGCTTTTCAGCAAGAAATCGGGTATAGCCGTAGTATACACAGACGTCGGAGAGCAGCTGCTCGGTGTAGTCAGTCCGCGATTTAGCTTTGTCGGCCAGCTGTGAGAAATTGCCCAAGATACGGATGGTCTCAGTCATTCTCGTGCGGATGATAGATAGATCGGGAGCAAGGCCATGCGAGGTCACCGAATCCAGCACACCTTCGTCTTTGGCAATATTTGTCTGTAGCGCTGCGTCTTCCAACTCTTGTTGCGCTTCTGCATCCTCTTTTGCCTGTTGTTTGTCAAGTTTCCGCGAAAGGCCTTCGATGTTGGCAGCAGTGAGTTTTGCTTCGGCGTCAGATTCGCCCTCGTCGTCGGAAAACATGCGGCGCGGTCGGTCCTCTTCGTCCGAGTCAAAGACGGAGTCGTCAGAGATTTCACCATCGAGGTCTGCCTGTGCCAGTTCGTCATCCTCTTCTTCATCTTCGTCCTCCAGGCCGGATAAAGAGACAGTATTCAATGCAACTTCGGTAGCATTGAGATCGCTCTCTTCGCCTTCGTCCTCCTCGTCCCCATCCACCCCCTCGGAAGTAGCAGGTATGGGAGGGGGGACGGTTATTTGTGCATCGTTGTTTACAAATTTGGCTTTCCTCTTTGCATTTGTCTTAGCCGGCGCCGTTGCAGTGTCATTCCGAAAGGCCCGGTCGAGTTTGACGAGTTTCTTTGAGGCATTCACAGACACAGGCGGTTTCTCGTCCGACTTCCTTCGTTTTCGGG